CCGTGAAACAGCTGTCTGCGTCTTGTGCGTTAGTATCTTAGCGAACATTTAGTGTAATTTATTTGGTATGTCATCTGGCACAACATTCATTATCGCCACAAACCGTAATCAGGCTACGGAGCAAAAATGCGGACAAACCACAGCTAAGGAAACAAAAGTTCAAAATTCTTGAAGATTTGACTTCCCTAGAGCATTTGAGGCCTACAAACGACTGAGACGTTTCTGTGTATACTTCACGAAGTTTGTCAATTTTTTACAGTGACAGTGAGCAAATAGGATCATTTTTCGCTCACTGAGTTTTCAAAACTCGCCATACTTTATCATGTACAATCCGAATGTACCGTTATATTATCGAAAACGAATATATTTCCACGTTTTTGCCTAACATTTATGGAATATCGGAAATTTTGTGATTGTAACATGAGCATCGGGGCACTTTGTTTAAAGAAAGGTCTGTGGAGGCGGGTTTCGCATCCAGGATTTGCGTCCCCTCTTTTTATGCCAAAAGTCAAGGGCAGACGAAGCGCGCTAGAAATGTAATTGCGAAAAATTTGTGGGGTACGTGGACAGATCTTTAAAAGTATACAGAGTTAACAGAGTTAAAGTAAAAATAACAAAGCATAAGACATGTAAAGTCCACAATAATACCGTCTCAGCGCATCTCCAACTACCGATAATGACCCAATATGTACACACTTGTGCAACAGTAACGGTCGATAAACGGTACTGGCGCCTATTATAAATGAATATCGGGTTTCTATGCTCGGGATGAGAGAGATTTAAGAAATTGTCACTTGGATTCAGACTTTTTGTCGACCAACTGTCTTAAGCAATCCGCCGGGGCTGGTTCTGACTTTAGACTCCTGCTACAGCGTTTTCCCATCTCCCATATCCACGAGTTTCTCTCTTCGCATTCAAATATATGCGCTATAGAGCACTCTGAGTGTCTCTAAGAACAATAGGGCAGCGATAGATTAGGCGAACTAGTTATATCACTCATTGGCAAAACAAATATCTCGTCTTTTCTAGTATGAGGAAAGAGCGGAATGGCGTCCGCAACGAGCAATATTTTCGTCTCGCCACTTGCCTTGTCATTTACCACTTTGTGTTTCTCCAGAAGTGCTATTTGTTAGCGCGCTTACATATCGTCCCTTAATCTTACAGAAAGTTAAGGGGATTTAAGATTCGTCTTATTTTTAGTATGGATTAGCTTATTAGTGTGTCCAAACGACGACTCCGTAAATTGCTCTCGCCCACATGCAGCGAATTCACCGGAAAGACAAAGAAAGGGGGACCATGCTCGCCAGCAGTGTCTGGTTATTCAGGGTTTGTCGGAATCGAAAGCATTCAGACCTGAAGACCGTGTCTCGGAGGATCTTGCTTCTTTTCACGGTCTACTACATCAGTTACCCCAGGCAGACATGGAAATAAAGGTTCTAAAGGCATTCCGGATAGGAAAAAGGAGTGAAGACGGGACAGCAGAACAACCACCTAGTCCTCTCAAAATTTGCTGGAGAACAATAAGCAAATCAGGTTGAACCTCTCAAAAAATCGACCTCAGAAACACAGACAAACAGTTTTTTCAATCGGAATATTCACCAGCGGAACAGCTGAAACGTCGGGAACTTGTCTTGGAGTTAAAATCAAGACTGAAGGGTGGCGAACACAATCTGGCTATCTTCAAGGGGAAGGTAGTTTGGAAATATATTCCGTTTCAGTGGAACCAGCCTGTAATACTAATAACGACGGCAGCTACTCAGCTAACACAGATACCTTCGTTGAACCACCTGCTCAAGGCGGCAACACAAGTAAGCGCGTAATGTCCAGTGATCTGACTGAAGCAACGCATATAAATTGAACCCATCAGCCCAGACGACATGGCGTTTGAGATAACGGAGTAATGCTCGAAACAGTAACAAATGCAACGGGAAATTTGGCTGGTGCAAAACTGATGTGCTTGTACACGAATGCCCAAAGCCTCATATCGAAACTAGACAGACTAAAACTTTGCCTTGCCGGACTGTCTCCAGATGTTTTTGCAGTAACCGAGACCTGGCTGTCAGGGAATATTAACGATAACGAAGTAGCCTTGCCTGTATACCAAATTTATCGGAGAGACAGGGAACATCGTCAGGGTGGTGGTATAGTTGTTTATGTGAATGAGGGCCTGGCAGTGTCGGAAAACACCACCAATTTTGCTATCTGGTTGACCATCAAAACTACCGGTTCCCCGTGTTTCGATGTCCTCACTGTCTACCAACCACCTGGGACAGACTTAAATGCCGACACTCAACTACTGGAGCAGTTGGAGAAATTTTCCAGTCGACCTAACATCATGATCATGGGTGACTTCAACGCTTCAGGAACAAACTGGAATACCCTCCGAGCGTCAGGTCAAAAATCGTCATTCGATTACCGTATGCTGAACAAAACATTAAAGGCGTCCCTCACACAATATGTAATGTTCCCAACGAGAACACGTGAAGGACAAAGGGCAAACTGTCTTGATCTGGTTTTTACGAAAACACCAGACAGCATAGACGAGATCACCTCCATGCCGCCTCTTGGCCTAAGTGATCACGTAGTGCTTATGTGGGATTATTCGTTATTCTCAACTTCACATGCTCCAGACCAAAAAAGACGGAATGTTTGGTGAAGCGACTTCAATCAGATGAGGGCAAACTTATCCCGTCTCGACTGGGGCTCATTGTTTACGGGAAGTGCTAACGATGACTAGGAGCTGTTCAAGAATGTCCTTTTGTAGCTCATCAACAACCACTGCCCACTGACTAGTGTAAGACTGAACGAATGCCCTGGGTGGCTAAACAGCAACCTTAAGAAAGAAATCAACAGAAAGCACAAATTGTGGGGAAATACTGCGTCACTGGGCAAGTTGAATGTTTCATCACCTACAAGACACAGAGAAACAACCTGAGGAACCTGATCATGAAAACGTGACGGGAATACGAGAAGAACTTGCTACAAGACCCAAAGCAGAACCCAAAATTACTCTACAGCTACCTCCGACGAAGTACAAGGAACAGGCATCAAATCCCCTTAATAAGGACTACTGATGGCATTGAGATTGCAGATAGTACGGATAGAGATGCGTATTTTTCACAGTTCTTCCAATCAGTCTACACCAACGAGGCAAGGTTCCTTCCTCCCTCCACAGAAGAACTGCCGACCCCAAGCGTCTGTCATATACTCTTCTCGGATGGCATTGTCCGAAGAGAATAAGAGGGATTGAACGAATCGAAGTCGCCAGGACCAGACGAGATTCCATCCAAGCTTCTCAAGGAACTTGCCTGTGAGCTCTCTGTGCCTTTGTCGATGCTCTTTGAAACGTAATTTGACACCGGAACACTTCCTATAGATTGGAAGCTGGCGCATATTACTAGGCTATACAAAGAAGGTAGCAGGGCAGCGACGACAAACTACAGGCCCAAAAGCTTGACATGCATTCTCTGCAACGTCATGGAAAGGATCATAAAGGGTGAACTAATGTAATTCCTGGAAGTTCACGGCCTGCTATCGGAATGCCAACATGGGTTCCGCAAAGGAAGATCCTGCACAACAAACTTGCTGCAATCTCTCCAGAGCTGAACCCAAGCTCTCGACGAAAGACACGCGGTCCACATAGCCTTCATCGACTTCCAGAAGGCGTTCGACACTGTGCCAATCCAGAGGCTCTTACATAAACTTAAAAAAATAGGGATCGTTGACAACTTCCTTAAGTGGATCGAAAACTTCCTTCTGGGTCGACACCAGGTCGTGTGCGTCGGTCGGGGAAAATCAGATCTTGCTATGGTCGAGAGTGGTGTCTCCCAGGGTTTAGTTCTGAGACCCATTTTGTTCCTTTCATACGTGGACGATGCCGCAAGTGCTCTAGACTGCGAAGCAGCAATGTTTGCGGATGACATGAAGATATGGAGTGTAATTCGGGGTCCTTCGGACGAAGACAGACTGCAGGTGAACCTGAATCGGTTGGAGAAGTGGTAAAACTGCTGGCTCCTGAGGTTCAACGTAGGCAAGTGTAGCATACTTCGCCTAGGCAACACAGCCAGATCCGCCAGCACAAGAGACTAATTTCTGGACGATGCAGCCCTACAAGATGTCAAAGTCCAAATGGACCTCGGTGTTCTGACGACGGGTTCCCTTAAGCCATCCGCCTATTGTTTGAGGGTGGCAAAAAGCGCAATATCCGTACTGAACGCCATCAAGCGTGCGTTTATGGACTTTGACGAAGATGCTTTCTCTAAGACATTCGCAACATTCGTCCGGCCGCATTTGGAGTATGTCATACAAGCCTGGAGACCGTGGGCGGTTGGGGATCAAAACTGCCTCGAATGAGTTCAAAGGAGAGCTACGAAGATAGTTAGGGGTCAAAGCTTCTTTCCTGATGCAACTCACCTAGTAAATCTGAACATCTTTTCTTTGAGTTACAGGCAATTTCGCGGGGATCTATTGCAAGCCTTCCGCATTATAAAAAGGGTTGGATTGCAGTCTGGCTTTCGAGGACTTTTCAGAATTTGCTACCACGACCAACTCCCGAGGTCACCAGTTAAAACTGCGAAGTCAGCAGGCAAGGCTGGATGTGCGGAAGTTCTCCTTCCCTGTTCGAGCGGTTTAAACCATGGAATGAGCTTCCCGCAGATGTTGTGATGACAGCATCAATAAAAAGTTTTAAAACGAATCTTGACATATTTATGTTCCGAAATGACCAAGAGCGATGAGAAGTAGAGCTCATCCCCTGTAACTCGTTCTCATTTTGTCCTTCAATTGTGGGAGTGTTCGAACTATTTCAGCCCAGAACATTTACTTGTATATTACACACTTTTTACTTTGCAAATAGGGTACTCAAATGTTTATGCCTATTTCCCTCAATAAACTGAACTGAACTGAAACCTCTGTGGTTTTAAGATCTTAACTGCCTGAACCTCATGGAACTCTGTACATTCGATGCGCGGATGTTTTTACCTGGTGGGCGTACGAACATAATGCCACTCTTTTTCATTTGGTTAGCGACTTTAACGGTCGTTTGTATTAAGCCCGCATCAACAAACAAAAATGATGTGAGCGTTTGGTTTCTCTTATATGGTTCTTAGGTACTTGTGGATAAATTCCGTCAGATGACGGAGCTTTCCGATAAATCTCCAATTTTGAGATTAAGTTATGACCAGTTCACGGAGCTTGTTCGTGCAGCTCCCCGGAATTATTCAGTATTTTCAATGCTGACGGCACTTGCTGACGAACGAAGATGCCACAGTTGTCAGTAAGCTATTGCGCTTTCATGCTTACATCAGGGCTGCCAATGATGAATTTAATACTCTCGCAAGTTCGTGGCAGAAGTTGAAGAATGCCAGATCGAAAATCTTCCTACTGCTTGTAGATTTTGATGAAAACCCAAAGATTTTTAAAGAAGTATATTTTTCAAAAATGAGTTCTATTCGTTTAGTTAAACCAAAACACTGTACCGGTCTTCATCCACTTTCCACCTTCTGGTGGTCCTAGCGCTGCCGACTTTCTTGATATATCACGAAGCGGTTTTGGTGCGGAAACGCTTTCCCGATGGATATTTTCTCGCACTTCTGTGGAGGTATGATCTGAGTGTCCACCAACCTTCTTCTAGATTCCGATTGTTCGTCAAACAAGCTACGCCGGAGCCGTCTTGTTATTAATAATTGCAGGTCTCGTCGGCACCATGTTGTATCTCCGACCGGACAATCTGGAATTTATCATCCACCGCTCAACGCTGTCTTATGCGGCAATGGTATGTCAGTGTATTTTCAGGTGGATTATACTTTTGTTTGACTTCGTCGCTTCCTTTTTTGCTCGGCATCCACGTGACTTGCCTCTCAAAGTCTATAGGAGTGCCTTTTATCGTCCTAAGTTTCAACTTTAACATAAGTAACTGTTTCCTTGTTTAGGTTCTAATCTTCTATATTATTTCTGGCCAAGTTTGGAACAGTATCCGACGTCCCCCTTTCTTCCATAATCAACCTCAGGGAGGCATAGTGAGTTCAAGCGTTTTTATTAAACTTGCATATTTAGGCATTCTTATACCCAGGAGGCGACTTTCAGTTCATTTCGGAAACTATACTAGTAATGGTTACTTGTATCCTTTCGATCGATTGTTTACGAGCAAAAATTAATCTTTTCTTCGTTGTCAAATATGCGACTTTTATCGTCCGTTTTTTATGGAAAAATAAACTACTTGTAAATAACTCCCAAACACTTTTCATCCGCTGACGTATTATTCTGCGAGTATGTATTCGTTAGTGTTGTGTATGGTCAGTATCATACATCGTAGAGCGATTCAGTACTCACGAAGTCCTGCACTCTTCGAAACTAGTTGCCGTACACCATAAGTACTCGGGCTCTTGGCTTAACGTCTGCACAACGCGGTCCCATAGACTCCTCAATATTAGATTGTAACTGCAAGGAGAATTGTCGGCCGAGGCATCATCTTATAATGGATCTTTGGACCCATGACCGCCTAGATGTATGTTTAGCATAACATTTAATTGTTATCTGCATAAGCCTCTTGTTTTTTTCATTTTACATCGACTGTTTCGTGTTATAAGTAGACTTGCTTGTCATTGTTTATCACCTTATTTTTATCCTCGCCACTCCTGTTCGCAGTTTTCCTGAGCCATAGAATATTTAGATGTTTTGGTTTCAATAAGTATATTGATGCTCGTTGAAGCCGGTCAGACGGAGGATTTTGGAAAAAAACGCAGTAAGTACCTATTCTCTGTCTTTAAAAATGTCCTGCCTGTCCCATAAAAACGAATTTATTTTATAATATTATGTTGAAGCAACTGTCTTATTAACGTCTTCCTGAATTCGATCTTTATTTGTGAACACAAAGCTTTCAACCCAAAAGTCAGCATGCTATCATGTATGAACGAACTTGGAATTCTCATGCGTACTAGTCATCATCTCAATCTAATGAAATTAATCTGTTCACTCTGTGAGATATTGGTAGCTGGCTCGGGGCTTTCGGCCCCGACCGCGCGCATCATACGGACGTAAACAGCGCCTTTTCCGCCGTATGCTAATTTAGTCTGGGAATGTGCGTCAAGTCCCCGGTTTGTCTTGATTTTCAGTTTAGCGCTTCATTCGATTCCAACATGTCTCTCCTCCATACTTTAGCACTTTCTGTGTAGGTAGCCCGTACCGTCAGACAGGGAACTAGAAGAATGTTCTTCCATGTTTCAGTCGGCACACATGAACTTTACCCCTTGCAACCAGCCCTTCGTGCTCCATGCGCTTCTTAAATTTGAGTTACTTCATATATTGTACAATTTGAGTTTGGTGAAATCGGGGATAAAAAGGCGCATCCCGAATAAAAACCGTTTCGCGGAATCACTCGCCGACCTTTTGCGGGCAGCCCAGTTCCGTTATAAATACGGCTTTAACCAAGTCATTAGCCCGTTACCCTTAGAAGCCCTCACTTTAGCATCATATCGGCTTACAAGTACGGTGCCTCGACAAACTAGTTAAGGTTTTAAAATAATTTTGATTGCTGTCCATTTTCGTAGCATGTCGTACGGATACGTTTACCCTTGGTCCATTGTAAGAACTGTTCAACTGTTTAAGTGCCCTAGATGCCCCAGGATTCTCAGCGACTGAGCCTGATAGACAGCATTTCAACCGTAGACTCTACCGAGTGCTTTCCTGATACCCTTCTGCATGCCATGAGACGTCACTAACTTGGCCGCACCCTTCTCAAACTCCCCTGTTGTCTTAGACGGCACGCGGCGGCCATTTGTGAACTCCTGCAGCGGTGCTATCACGTAGCCCGGCCATTTGCTCTCCACCACCATTTCGTCAGTATAACTTGACTTAACTATCGGTACTTACTTGTACTTGATACGGCTGTAGTTGGCCTCGATGATGTCCCGAACTGCACCTCCCCACGCGTGATGGTCCGCGTCAGTAGATCTGGGCAGTTCAATCCATTCTCTTTGCCAACGACGGTGACCAAATACCGAAGTTCCAAGAACCACCTCCACGTCTTGACGAACTGTGTCAAGCCGGGTTTTAAGTTGACCTCCTCTTCGACGCCTCCAGTGGGATAACGGCGCTAGATCGCCGGCAGTAACATTAAGCTCCTGAGGTTGACGACGAAGAACATGCCCAAACCAACTCATTCGTCTTTCTTGGATGGCCAGGTTTATCCTTGCCATGTTGGCGCAGAGAGTGCGGACTGTCTCATTTGAGACCAAGTCGGTGTGTTTCACTTGACGGATGGTCCTCAGGCAGTGACCAAATGCCTTCAGTTTTCGCTCGTCCTCCACGGCCTTGATCATTGCGACGATTTTTGGCGATACACCGTCTAGTGCCATTACCCGTTACAGGGACTCACGATGGACGGAATCGAACGCGGCGGAAAAGTCAGCAGAGCAAACGGCCGTTGGTCGCTAGTAGCTCTGACGGAATTCGAGAATACGCCTCAGTGTGCATACCCGGTCCGCACATCCGCGTCTTGCACCAACAGCCTGGACTCGCAATCGGTTATTTCCATAGCTAAAGATATTGAGTAACTGAAACGTGGGTAATCAGACAATTCTGTGAAACCGTTGCTGCTATTTTTATGCCCATGCGCCAGCTTAGAAATTTGCATTTTTCCTTGTGCGACTCAGTTTATGCTGTCGCAATGCACTTTTTGTTAGCATTAGTGAAAATAATAACCCGGACAGCCAGAGACTGCAGTTATCTCGTAGAAAATTTAATAACCTCTTAATTTTATCTGGGTTCCTTATGCTATTTAATTACATCTGGCCTGCCTTCTCCCCTGCCTTTATTCAGTGATGGCAATTGGTGGTCTCAGCTTGTTTTCCATCTTCGTCAGCCTCATTTTGAGCCTATTTCGGAGGAAGTATCAGGGCTATCCATACAGGTTTGTCTTTCATCTTTTCCCTATAATTGCTTCCCTGTGCTTTAGTTTCTTGTTAAAGTGATCTCCGTCAAATGAGAAGCCAGGACGAGACGACTAGAACAACCTTCCAGCTCTGCGCTTAAATAAAAAGTAGACAGAGGACGCGTCGCCGTCGTTATAACTATCAGCATCAGCACCACCCTCATCATCATTCTATTATTCAGTGACCTCGTTACTTATATTCATGATATATATATTTGGTGCTGTCGTCGTAACCCCAGCTTTTCTGTCGTTTTCAATAATTTTCTGTTTTTTGCCGCTTTAGTGAGAGCGAACTATTTCCGCTGAAAAAGGTCCAATGCACCTTTTGACGGGGTCCCTTGCGCTTGTCGTCGTTTTGGTTGGTCGCACAAATTCTGAACTCAACATGTTGACGTCTGGTGTGAGATGGAGTCCAGATGCTGACGGCAGGGGCTCACGCCACCACTCATTTTAATGTTTGAAAGTAGAATAGTTTAAGGAAAGTCTAAGGCAAAACCGTTCGTCTTGGGCGGATCGCAGTAAGGTGCTATATCTGTTCGCGTCTTGCCAACTTTGCCGATACTCACTATTCCCCTAATATATGCACTACGTTCTCCAAAGCTTTATCAAGGAGGCGAATAAAGCTCAGATGACCATCTCTGTTTCAGATGCCGTCGTCAAACGACTGTATTCTAACTCTAGACGGGGGAATCTGAGGGGCGTAACAAGCCATTAGTCAGAGCCCTCAACCACCGATCCACGGGTTTACTCCCACGCCTGTGGTCGGACATATTCCAAGTCGCGCCACAGTGTTGCTCGTCGACTTGTTCGTCAAAATTGAAACGCCGCTCACCTCAACCTATTTTCTCATTTCCGGTGGATGACGACAAGGTTTCCGGCATTCTGATCCCAAATAGACACGGCGCCGAAAATTATGGGTGAATTCTACATAGCCGACCTTAGTGTGAAGTGCTTTACTACATTTTCACTCCAGACTTTGCGAAATGCCTGGCACTCGTAAGCAGACAAACTAGATGCAGAATATTTGAAAGGTCTTGTTCCATTTTATGTACCTATTAATCCCTTCGCCCTTTCAGTAGGGGGCTATGGTTGTTTAGGTTTTCGGTATAGACGGAGATAAAAATCCTGCCTTCTGATGCTGCACAACGGCTCTTATAGGCTCAAAAGAAAGGTAAACGGCGAAGTGTAGCCCCTCGTTTTTCGCCATTAAATCTAATATGGCTATTTGAGTTGGTCGTCTTCTCTCGGCAGTTATCCGAAGTCTCAAGGCGTACCTGGAAACGTGTCAACTTCATGTTGCTAGGGGTGGGGTCTGTGGTAGAAGGCGTGTTTCCACTGAACTTGGCGTACAGTCATCACTTTTGTCGTCAGCTGTAAACTAATGTTAAATCTGCCTGGTGCTTGGCCTCTTTTTAAAAACACTGGTGTATGCTAAGCGGGTTCATTCGTGGTATCATCAGTGACTCAAAACACCGAAAGACCGTCGATCCAAGCTAAGGACTTTCACGCCAAAAGTCAGGCAAAGTCCTTTAACTGCGTGTTCATTGGTATCCGTTTGAAATGATTATAAAGGCTTAAGGTATTGGCAAACGTATTGGCTGCGTTGACAAGGCGCTCGAAACTCGTGCGCCGTCTGCCTCCCTGACGAAAACGAGCTCAGTCTTGTCACGCGAACCACGGCCTAAAATGGATTTGAGGACCGCGATCCACGTACCCGGATGGATTTGGTGCGGACCAAGTCCAACCAAACGGACCGTCTCGTCCCCCCCCCAAAAAAAAGAACCACCAAAACGTCCATCTGGACTAGTAGAAATAATTTCCTGCTGGACAGCAACAAAACTACGGCAGGCGAGCCTATACAAGGCTACAAAGAAACAACGCCTTGGGGGACAACGCGACAGCGCTTAGTTTTTCCTTCTCCACTCAATCGGTGTCCGTCCTATGTTCTCCATCCACCTGCGGAAAGTCGGTTTTTCGTGTGTATTTAAATCACAAGTCTTGTCTGTGAATAACCGTGCTCGTGATAACCCCGTCTGTGAAACCATTAAGTAATCACTTAATAAGTAGAACCCGGACGAAGAAATACGGCAGTTAGTGAGGCCTCCTCGACACAATTTATAAGAACTGGTAATCGACACAACGAAAATACCTTTTTTATGGGGCGCAGCTGAGCCACCGGTCTCTCGAACCCGTTCCAAGTAAGTCGCTTGCCGACTGTGCAAGTTACCAGCTAGTCCGGCCGTTCTTGCTCCTAAGGCAAACTGCTATACCTTGCCATCACATCGAGGAGGATGAAATAGATGTGAATGTCACATCGTCCTCCGGTTTTGAGAATCCAATCGCATAAAGATTCGAAAACCGAGCGAAATAAGCACTGCATCCCAGTTTTCCTGTTTCCATATGAAGCAGGGTGGAGGGCTGTAATCGTCTGCCACAATGCTGCGTTCACCACAGAACTGGTAGGATGATCCTTCATGGGCCCAAGGTCGCTGAAACGTGACCTTAGGTCGACACAGTTGGCTAACCAATTGAGGCCCCTGTCAACTTCAACTCTCTCTCCATACGAAAGGACAAGAATGGTTACTTGATTAACACCTGTCTGTCTGTAACCGTATTTGGCTTCTTTTTGCTGTTTTCTCTGTTTATGGGAGGGGGTCGGCTTCACAATATGAAGTCGTCCTAGACTGGCACAGTGTTAGATGTCGATCGCAAACAATCAGAATGTGACAGTGAGGGGTTACATAAAAATTATCACAAACGACCTGTCAGGTTAAGGTCATTTGCTCACTGAAACGTAGTCGGAGCGGCGTGGACAGGTATATACCGTCGTGGAGGAAATTACACCACCTCACTGAATGTAAGTCAAACGACCACGTGGAGCCGCGGACATCAGTCAGGTTGTCTACCAAACATTAACAAGCTTCTCTAAAGGCCTACGCCAACAGGTGCTAGCAAAGGCCGCGTCAGTGGCTATACGGCTAGCGAATACAGTGATAAGCTGTCAGGGAACGCTGACACAAGAGCTCTCTCTACCGTGGCCAACATCAACTTCAGGTGATGACGAAATGTCACCTCAAGTCCGTAATTACAGTGATGGGTACACCGTGTACTCAATCCAGGAGACTCTGTTACCCCCCTCCCCTAGTTCTGAGGATCAAAACCCGCCGACCGAGCCGTGCGGGCGGCGAGGGGAAGATGAGTGTTAATGACTTAATAGCCCTGAGGCACCTATAAATATTATTAATTTTGTGTATTTCCATTCCTCCTGAGGAGGAATTACCGAAAACACATGTTTGCCAACTTGACTTTTCAAAACTGAACATTTTTGAACTGAAGAGGAGTCAAGATCCGACAAATGTGACCACTTCCCATCTCCTCCTGCCTCAACAGCACTCCCAAAGCAAATACAAGCAACGGTAGTAGATAATGTCCTCATGGGTAGAGACGCGAGCTTCGATCGCCTTACGGAACTCACTCGTTCTGTCGTGCTTTTAGGCTTTATAGAGCCCCCCCAGCAGCCGCACAGTGGCGGGTAATATGGTCAGAAGGACATCACCGACAACGATAAGGGAGAGTAGAACGGACATTTCTGGCTTATTAGCCGTCATCAGCCAACCATGCCGGGTCCCACGGTTTACAACCCATGAGGCCCTAGTCCGCGACCTGTTGGTTAGAGGCCCAGCGCCCTGACCACTGAGCCACGGACCGGTTGTCCTGTCGCCTGCGATCGGGTATATTAGCAATGGTAGAGGCGCGTGCATCGATCGCGTTACGGAACTCACTCCTTCCGTTGTTCCTAGGGGCTCTCTCTCAACCGTCGCCAGCAGCCGCGCAGCGTCTCTTAATGCAGGTAACCGACAGGACAACGAGCCTGTGGTCTATTAGTTAGGGCGTTGGATTTCCAACCAAGAGATTATGAGCTTGAGCCTCGGAGTTTGCATACCTCGGGACTAGGTATGGCTAAGTGGTAACCGCTTACAAGCCAGAAATGGGCGTCCCAGTCTCCATGGTCTTTCTCAGTAATGTTATAATGCGCTCATAGTTCAATGAAATCTCCTGTGGACCGGCAGTTACTCTAGTCATTGCAGTCGAAGAGGTTAAGAAGTTGGTAAGAAGTAGAAGCGACCGCTGGAACAAGTACTTTATTTCCTCAACGTTTCGGATTCTCGCTCGAACCTATCATCATAAACGTACCACTTGGGGTTGGAGTTGCACACTGACCGGAGACCAGTAGAGGGCGTCAGATGTTGAGACCAAGAGACCAACTACATCTGGAGTCGTTTAACTGATCTGATGCAGTTGCGAGCAAAGCAACTACTTCGGAAAACTGGAAGACCGCTTCGGACGCGAGTCACCGAACACGCGGCAGCGGTGCGGAGAAATGGCGCCAACTCTCAGGTCGCGGTCGTTCGACGAGTCACGTCCACATATTCAAGTTCGATGAGGCCGGAATTCTCGCGAGAAGTGATAATCGCGTGAGTCGCGAGTTGCTTGAGCCATGGTTCACAGGACCCCAGCCTATTAACAATTGCAACGACATCCCCGCTCCATGTTCGGTGCGGAGGCATAGTCTGGCCAAAGTAATTGACCACCCGGGAGCGCGCGGGCCGGTGAGCCAGATGGCCGGCCATCAAGCAAGTAGCACACCAGCGGACAACAATTCGCGATTAAGGGAAGAACAGTTATTTATCATAGGCATACAGTAGCATAGCGACTACATCCTATAAATACAGCTACTTCCGGTGCACGAATCAACCGTTTCTGTAACTGTCTCCGATGATGGACTCGAGCGAAAATCCGAAACGTCAGGCGAATAAAGCTCTTGCCCCAGTGGCTGCTTCTACTTCTTGTCAACTAGTTCCTGGAACTCGAATCAGGAAGTACTGACTCCTAGCGAATCGGTAATCCTACCTGCTAAGGTCATCGTGGGGTCACCCCTTGTGGATCCTTTTTAGGACTGTATTGTAAATGGAAGTTTTCCGCTATGCGGCGGACACCCCTTCTCCAGTGGATGAAGATTGTTGAAGGGACGGTTGGTGAGTTAACATATCGATGCATGTGTGCGAGTACAAGAGATTTGGCCCATAGAGATAATTCTCTCGTTATTTCGGCTTGCGCTTTCCAGGGCGATAGTCGACCAGCCACGGTTTCTAGTGCCTTAAACTCACCGGCCTTTTAGGTGTCGAATGCGTTTAGCATTGCTTCACTTTGCCAATCTCTTTTGACCTTTCGTTAGTGAGACGTCAACCAAGCTTGAATCAAACAATTGCCCGATAATCAATCAAAAGGCAGCGTCCGAGGCGAAGCGTCGTCCAGCACGTTGAAAAACAAAGTCTGTTTCCTACAAACCATTAATGAACTTATGTTTTCTTCTTAGAGGATGGGCCGGATAGACTTGAGGGTAGATTTTAGAATAACTAGATTTTTATCACTGGAGGCAAAAATGTCAGCGACATTTTACCTGCTTTTTTGGGAAATATCGCATTGAAACGGAACTCCAGTGCTATTTTTGGACTGACAGTAATAATTGCGAACCAGTGAGCTATTACTGGTTGTTATTACTTGGCAATAACTGCTCATTTATACTTTTTACTTTGTCTTCCAGCTTATACTACAGCTATTATCAATTTAGATTGCAATCTCGATCCCAGCTCTAAGCCAACTAATGAGCGTATTAGACATGTTTTGTCTTGTGAGTTTCATGGAGGTATTGCTCCTAATGCAATAATAAAATCCATTCAAAAACGTTATACTCTTGATATTTTGACTGGAAGAACATGCGGAAAGTGGTTTTATGCTTTAGAACCGGGAGTTTAGCCTACAAGCACTAAGAGACTTAATGGGCTTTTAGTGCTATTTCTTTCTGCTTTGTGTAATTTCCGGGAAAATTAAAAAAGCAAAGGGAAACTGGGGGTTGTATATCAGAAAACACACAGACAATGCTGCTGGGGTGCTGATGAGTCGAATCCCTCGCAGCTGCGCCAGGCAGCGGCACAAGGTCGGCGAAACACGCGTGTTTGGGTTTTTAGCTAGCAACTGTGCTGTCAGTATGGTAAATGATCACATAGTTGTATACCAGTCCTTTCATTAGGAGTGAGGAAATTGGCGCCTGTTTCACTATCAGTAATTCGCCTGCCGTGCGTGAATTGAGAAGAGCTGGAAAAGTGCCTGCGTCGGGAGCACTGATTCAGTACGACGTGCCTGAAGAGAGTCGTCACACATGTAAATTGTTGTGAGGCCCTACTTACGTGGCAGTTTCAAGATTAAATTTTAAACAGGGTTTTTTTTCTGGTGACCGGAAATGGATCCTTTACCATAATGTTAAGAGTAGTCGCTAGTGGATCAGTCGTGGGGAACGGTCAGTTCAGACCTTCATCCAAAAATATACCGTTGAGTGTACGGATCAACTTCCGGGGTCACTCCTTAAGAAGCGTTGGAGGATAATCAGCCAATCAGCGGTGTTGTGTATTGCCAGTGCATTCGCCGTTTGAAAGCTGTCCTACAGAGACGTAATTGGCTATTTAGACGGCATGCAGATTAAATATAATGGAGCGCGCATTCCGCACAGCCCAAAAAACCAGAGGATAAGCTCACGAACATGATGTTGGTTAGGTAAAACAAACACAAAATAAGTCTAAGACCACTAAAAAGGAAGAGAAAATGAAAATCCTGATAGAAAGGCAATATCGAATAAAATTTCGTTACTTCCATATGCAGCTGACTACCTTCAAGACCTACCGTTTGCTGTTCCTTTATTAGCTTAACAGGTCTGCTTATCGACACATGTCATTACTACCATATCTAACTTTCTAACTTTGCCGGGTGATCTCTGACAGCTTATGGCCATGAGAAATCCTGAAGCTTGAGTTGGCTGCTTGAAGTTTCAAAAAACTGTAACCAAAAGTCACTCACCTTCTCATATTGCCTTACCCTGGATATCAGCTTCTTCGTAGTTGTTAAATCAGGCGTTCTGCATTAGTCGTCTGAACTGGACACGCAGAACCAGTGCTTCCTCTTGTGCTATAGCATACATGTCAGGGAGGTGGTAACCAAAGTAACTTTTTGCCGAACTAGGACTTAGCCTGAGGAAATTATTTAAGCAATTTTCCCTGAAATTTCCTGTCGTTTCCATTTTTTAGGTCGGCATAGATTCATGGCTGTGATCCATTTTAAAGGGCGCTATCGCCCTTTCATCTGTGAATTACATTAAATAACAGGAAGACACGTCTTACCTCGTTATAGTAGCCGGTTACTTCAAAATCCACATATCTTGCTGTTTCTGACTTGACCAGAATTTTTAATGGCATCCCCAGGTCGCTCAGTGACAGAAAGCATCGCCCAAACAAAATTTCGTATTACTTCAATTCAGCAAGATAAGTAGACCACATTGTAACTCACTTATAATTGTTCGACCAATCGCCCGAAAGCCTACGGAACAATTCCGCAAAAAAGGCCAATTAATCACTCCGCACAGATACAGGTTCCTCTCTAGCGCAAATGAAGTGGATCATCTTCTACCACAAGAACTCCTGTCTCACAGTGTAAAAATCCCGAAGATTTGCCGGAGGAATTTGACAGAGAGAATACACCACCTTTTTTCTTGACCTTTATCCTACCAATTAATTGTTAAATTGAGTTGGTTCTTTATTTCTCACCACAACCTAAGGAAGGTTACAAACAAGGCATTACTGGACTAACTGAAAGATGGAGGTGCAATAAAAAGCATTGAAATATATGTCTATGAGTAAGTGTATTTGTGGACACTAATTTTTATCTTCACTGCATGTGCTAAAAACAGAATTCCTTTTAACCTCAGTGTAACAAACTCGACGACATCGGTGGAATTCAAATCCACGACAGCAAGAGGGGGGTTTAAGCGCAGTCCATGCTCCAGCTACCTGAGGTATGAGGCCTCACTGGAAGCCCTGAGTTTAATCGCATTTGGGTCGCGTTACCCCCACCCCCTCCTCCAAGCCTACGGCAACGTCTGGAATCTACCAAGAAGAATTAATTTCCTTTTTGAGCTGATAAATCTGAAGGTATTGCTAGGCAATATGCAGGGATAATACTTCAAAAAACCCCGTTGAATAACTCCATTTTAAAGATTGAGATTAACTTCCGTTCCAGCAAGCTATATTAGATTTAAATATAATGTTTATTCCCCTTATTTATATCCTAACGACAATAGTTGCATTTTGTTAGGTTAACAAAAAATGCAACTGAAAGGCCTTCACAAATTCGAAAGAAGTGAGTATTTTAACCGATATGGGGTCTCTCCTCTGGTTTTCCGAAATCATGAAATAAGGTCCTTATAGGTATTATCTAGTACGGCTCTTTCGTTTTAATTCCAGTTTCACTCCTTTTAGTAGTGAGATTTGTATTCTTTCCGAGATCACTGTAAGGGCATTGTAGTGCCTTTTTTTTAGCACGGATGAAATAAAGTCACAGAAAAATTGCGCTCATCTAATTATCCTAGTTACAGGACTGAAACAGGCTCTTTGGTTTGCCTCTGAATTTTCAGGCTCAATGCCTACGCAGGCAAACTTGGCAATAAGCGACTGCTTACCACTGGCCATCGACGGAAACGTAACCGGAAGGGCAGTTCTCGTTTCACTTGACTGTGTATTCTTGGTTGCCATGCGACCATCTGTGTGTATCCTGAACTCTGTACCTCAGAGGAAGAGAGGAATCCATTGTCGTAATCGATCTGCGAGAGTGATTGTCATCTGATAGTATTTTAACCTCTATAGTGCACAATTTTGGGATCACGGGCTCTCAGAATGAGAGTGGGCTACCTAACTTCAAACCCACTGCTGTTTATTTATACTGAAGTGGACCAGCCCAGTCAGTGGCTAGTCCGGAGTCTGTCGGGACTTTCGGCCCCTGTAAGGGTCGTAAATTTTGGCAAATTACACAGATTATCCCAACAATCAAACCAATTGCCTCCAAGGGTCCACTTATTTCGAATTAATGGCTGGGAGGGGAATCTGCACAACAATAGTTACTTGTTTTTTAAAGTAGGCATGATAATTCATGATTAAGAATTGCACACCGTCGCATACATAGTATCTAGAAGAATTCCAGTATTCTAATAAATATTCAGCCCTCTTTCTGTTGCTCCTTCAAATTGCTATTTTTTGTTTAAAAACGAACTTTCAAATGATGCACTACAAAGGTTTCTGTGATGGGCACAATTTTGACAACCACAGGCATCAGAGCTGCAAAAACGACGATCCAACTATAAAAAGAAGAAAAAGCGCCGTATTTATCATTGTGAGATGTCAAGAAATAATAATTATCAATAAAACTTTGCCTACATACTGGGCGGAATTTCAACCTGAAAGCCCAGTGCCTAGGACCTCGTTTGTCGGCGAAGATTAATCAGACATGGACAAAACCAATGAATTCAATAAATCGGTTTTTATATATATTTCCAGTTTCGTCTAGTGAAATCTATTGAAATAAGAAGTGTGCAAAGACTGAGTTAATCAGCGAAGTATTCAGACATTTTGGGATCGGAAAGGCAGTATTTGTTCAAAAAATCCTATTTTTTTATAGCATAGACACCGTTCCAGAGGGGTTTTTAGACTCCTTAACCGACATTGTCGTCGGACATTTAGCATATTTTCGCATACAGAAGCAAAAAACAATTTTATAAACAACTGAATTTTCAAATGGACACCAATGATATGCTCGCAAATCCATCAGGTGGCAGTTAGTGGGCCATGGGCGTTCTAAGAGCTGTGATCACCATTATTAGAATAGTACATGGTATGTAAAATTGATCCAAATGGTGTCGCAAAAAAGTACTCAATACAGCCAATAGAGACGGCCTCCAAGGATAAAAACACGAAAAATCTGAACATAACCGCGCCTTATCTGACTGAAGTTGGAGGGAGACTCATAAACAAAAATGAAATCCATTTAAGTCATGGCAGCTTTGTGTCGGTGGGCAATTCCGACACCCGGTCCCACACCAATTCGCTCGGTTGCCTCTGAAACATCCTTCATGTATGGGAGGGCATGTCAAACCATAGGTGCTCTTTCTGGGTGGGTCCTCCAGGAAAGAGCTCGTAAACACTGACTCATAAACCTCTTCGGTTAGCCGTACGGTATAAATTGGTCACGGATATATCGAGCCTCGAGTGCTTTTTATTCCGACCAATTAAATCCTAGTGAGTAATCGGGTGCAGTGTATTGCATCTCGTGTCCAAACTGTCCGTGTAGTTACACAGATCCAATTGACCGCACGTTCAGGTTGCGCATATACGAACAAAAGCTGGCTGTGCGACTGGGGAACGGATTTTCACGTGTGTCTGCCGACACCTTCGCAGCGGATCAGCTATTTGACCTCGCAGTTGCGACAATAATCGCTCATGCCAGAAGTAAGACAGGCCGTGGATCTATTGAAGCCTGGGCCTCAGATGGGAACTGAGTCGATCTGTCTCCGGCATACAGAGCCGCGGGCAGGCACCCCCAAACCGGTGTCAATGATGTTTGACTGGCTCATACCCCCTATAACAGGCGCTAGTTCTGTTGCCGCCTTTATCTAAGACGATGGACTCCTGTACGATTTCGAAAACTCAGACGAAAAAAGAAATGGTTCGGCGATCAAACAGTCTTCTTCTTTTTCCTGCCCTTAGCCTGGAATGCACCTATTTTACGATAACTGTCAGTGGTAATCTATCCGTAGCGGTAGACCAACTCTCTTAACTTGGGAGACAAAACTCACAGACCAGTAAAATCCACGACGTTTTTCCACCCAAATCCTCCAGTGGTAGGGAAGATTGAGCAACCCCACTAGGTTTCAAATGAATAATTACCTACTGTATTTGTTGTAGCAGGTCTTGTTTTGTTTATTAACTCATACTTGCAGGAGGTCCTCCCATGTAACCATGTCGTCGCTCACCATACAATGCGTGCTGTAAGGATCCCCAGCTGCATGTCGGTCTAATTCACCTCGGTTAGAACGCAAGCGCGCGCCCTCATTTACATTTCCCAACGCTTATTGTTGTCAAATGTCTACGTCATCCGTTACTTACGTCTTTGGAGAACCAGCTTAATGTTTTTCGTCCATGTCAGTACTCACCGTACAACGCGTGCTGTAAGGATCCTCGGCTGCATGTTGCTTGGAGCGGATGGGCCGTATTTTAAAAGAAAAAAAGCATAATTACCTACTCTGTTCATTGATGTATTTTTGTTTTTGCATATAATCCTTATATATATATATATATATATATATATATATATATATATATATATATATATATTTGCATTTTACTTAAGATTGTCAAATTACATTTTTGTTTCATCTTATCATACAGACAAATACATGTGCTTCTACTTACGTAATTTTACTCTCTTCGTGTTCACTAGGGTGTATTTCGATAGCTTCTTCAGCATTCGTGTGTATTACGTTATCTCGCCGTAGTTTTTTCACAGATGCATTATTTGAAACCTAGTCAGCTCACTCAGGGTACAGCAGGCCAGATAGTGAGCTGCTTACGTATTATATGTGGGATGTGTCCTTTTGAGCAACGTTCGTTGTCGTCATTTGCACCCTGGCGGACGGACAGAATGGGATCTTGTGAGATCCTTACCATAATTGTGAGGGGGAAACGCCTGCTTTACGTACTGACACCTGGTTTTCTTCTGTCTGATTGGTTGTTCATCACATTGGTCCTGGCATGTCTCAAAACTGCCTGCGGTGGTTTGCTTAAATATCTTTTATTTATTGTTCGGTGATTTTTTGTTTATTTTTTAATTAAAGCGCCCGATTCCGTTGCTATATATAGGCGTAAGAGAAGAATTTAAAATGAAGTCTATTTCATTTCTATGTTTAACGACATGCACTTCGTTCTCTGTGCGTAGTGAGGTCCCATCCCCGAAACCCCTGCTACCACCATTCCTTCACTATACGAAACTGGGGTTATTGGTTGCCAGGTGCGGTTACACAACATGCTGTTGCAATTCTAAGTTAGTAAGACACGTTGTGGAGCAAAACGCATAGTCTGGGACCTCCGTGAAATCTTTCCCAACAAAGAACTTAGGAGGTGTAGGGTTGACACTCTGACAACTCTGCTGTAAGGCAAAGTAACCGAAGCAATCTGTCGAAGCCTAGGCGGATGGTTAAATTACTTCCGCCTTAGCTGCTCTCGATGAATTTTAAGACGGAACGCTCAGAAACAGAACCCAGACAAGCAGTTCTTCAAACCGACTGACATGCTGCGCATCCATGTTACTTTGTGGCAGAAACGACCACATCACGACGAAGACTGGGGAGCGCGTGCCAAAGCGACACTTATATGAGGCTGCCATTCTAGACACTCACAAACAAAAGACGACCATGTGGGAAAACTTTGAAGACCACAGCATTGAAATATCTTCGACTAGTGTTTAGAGCGACTGGCTACTCGCGCAACTTCTTTAGCCGGTGCTTGTCAGACTAAACGACAGACGGAATCTAAACGACGTCAAATTTTGGTCGACACCACCGTACGCTAGAAAGGCTTCAGAAGTCGTCAGCTGCCTTCGCACACAACGTGGACTTGATGTTGCACGCAGACCGCTGAGATTATGGGGGCGAAATGTCCGCCGTCACGGTTGTTCCCGGGCCTGGCGTGACTGTTGACAAAGAAATTATGTTGGAAAAATTAGAAGGCTGTTCCGGACGCGGATGGCCGAACACGCAGCAGCGGTGTGGAGGAACGAGGTTGGCTCCCAAGTAGCGGACCACTCGAGGGGACCTAGTCACACACTCTAGTTCGATGAGACTAACGATTCCGCTAGAAGTGACAACCGTGTGAGCCGAGAACTGCGCGTGTCATGGCTTTCCGGTCCTCAGTCAATCAACAAGCGCAACGGCCCCCCTCTTCCATTTTACATGCTAAGACTTTTCTTAGGTAAATTAGTTAACCGGACGGGGAGCGCTTGGATGACTACCATCTCCAGTGTCGGTGGGACAGAGTGCTCAATAGCCCACATGGGTGACGAAATTTCGGCTATTAATAACTCGGTTGCGAACAGTCGGGCCGTTATCTCACCACCTGCAGCATCCTTTGAAATATGTAGGCGCCGCCAAATTTGGTAGATGAGCAGTACTTTAGAAGGTGCATTCTATAAATACTGCAATGTCTGTGTATTTCACCACCCTTATCTAATCTTGTCTCTGATCATGGATTCGAGTGAGTCAGAAACATAAGGCGAATAAAGCTCCTGTTTCGGCGGTCGTGTCGCCGTCGCGACTGCTTCATGGAACCCGCTATTCCGACTCTATCAGTACATATAACATCTTCTTAGGACGCCTCCTAATTAACCCACGACCACGGAAACGTTAGCATTAGACTCATAAGCATGGCAAATAATTGCAAAACTTAGTCAATCGTCTGGAAATCCTAATGAATCTAGGATGTTAAAGTTAAATTACGTGCAGTGGACCAACATCCAACCACAGTCAATATGTTTCCGCTTTTGACGCGTCTTCAAGACCTAACTGTCCTTGTTAGACGCTTCCAGATTCTCCACGATGGCAGTACGACCATTACACGCTCCGACAGCAAAATCAAACACCAAAAAAATTATTAGTAAGGACATCGCTCACTCCTGTCCTTACTGTAACACCACTTTCCTGTCCCAATTCTCTCTCTCTCCCTCCCCCTCTCTCTCTCTCTCTCTCTCTCTCTCTATCTCTATCTCTCGTCATATGTCCCTGAACCCGCCACCGCCGCCGCCGCCATCACCACCCGCAGCAAAGGGACACGGTGATTAACTGTAAACACAGCGACCTTTTGTTTTTATCTCTCATCGGCCTGATAGGTCACCTGCGAATCCGTTGTAGCGCGACTGCTAACCCAGTTCCCGAAATCATCACACACCACAGCACGGCGGAGCAAGGAGAGTGGCTTCTGCGTGAGTTAGCTTATGGTGGTAGAAGACTTACACGGCGCCTACCGCACTCTTTCTTCTCCACTCCCCTCCCGGACCCGGCGTCAAGGCAGAGTCAAGAAGGTCGGAGGTGGAGGGAGGGAGTAGATGACTGGCGCGGCCGGACGCGCACCTAGGCGTGCCACCACACTCCCTGGTCCACGCAGCAAATGATCAGGATTTTTCGTCAACAACTGCAACACTCATCACACATTCCTGTCCTTTTACGCTGTCCCGGAATATTTAATCATATGATGATTATAACCAGTCCTGTGGGCATACATCAAAACATTTGGTCAGACAGCCCAGCCGAGATCCCCCCTTGTACCGCCTCTTTTCTGCACGCACACACATACTGAAATATGTATGGCCTATTCGGTCTTACACACACGTCAACCATCCGCAAAACATCACACTTAACCGACGCAACAGCCATTCAGTGCAGTTTGTCAGTGCTGGTATAACAAACGCATAGTCGTATGTGAGATCAAACAAATCTCGATTGTGGGAGAATCGTGCGGCACGCGATGGACAATGAATTCCCATCACGTCAGCCAGTGCGCATAATTACATTTTCAGGCGACTTAGCGTGGATAAGCCAATGTTGTATTGACGCAAGTCCTGCGAAGGTGCTATGCTGATTCTAACGCCGTAAACAGCCAATCGGGCTTTTGAACTATTCCTATGCACTGACAGTCGTGACTAGGAAGATTGGCCAAGGACGGGATCATGTGATCTTTTCCACGAATAAGAGTCAGTCTACGCTAATGCCTTTTTGACAAGGTCGTTCCTGCAATTTCTCATGAGATGGAACACCCACTCTTAAATTTTCGGGACCAGGTCGTGTGCGGCACGCGTAGCTGGGATATTTACTCCTGTCGGCCACTGCCTTCGCACCAAGCCCCCGTCATCTGGGATTTGCCTCGAGTGAGTGTAGAGAGAGATGGAGTGAGACAGAGGCAGTGCAGGTCCACTTTACGCGCGGGTCACTATCGGACACGCCACGTGGGACAGTGGTAGATCTCACCGCTTGCTACGATCGATTCGTCGTCGTGTGTGTATGCCCCCAAAAAGGGCACGCGGCAGAAGCGCTGGACCCACACAGGGGCCATATCGGACCCTGGCAGGCGTTATCGACATGCGCACCATAACCACTGTCAACATTCGGGATGCGGTGGCAGACCCAGTTGTCCACAGACGTCACACACACTGGACCTCCTGACGCCCGCCATTGTTGTTATTGATTAGAATCCTGGTCATTTGTTGTGTGGACCGGGGGTGCGGAGTGGAGCGCCAAGGTAAGGATCCGTCCGAGCCATCCACCCGCGGCCTCCCTCGTCTCCGGTCTTCTTGACTCTGTCTTGACAGGAGGGGAGGAGGGGGGAGTGCGGTGGATGCTGTGAAAGTCAACTGCCACTTTAAACTAACTCGCACACAAGTCACTATGCCTGCTCTCACCTTGCTGTGGGGCACACGGTAGACATTGTCGGGCACTATGGTCGAGCTATCGTGTGTTTTTGTGTGTGTGTTTCGCGCCACGGACAACAACACAATCTCCGAGGCATCCACAGTGACTAATGGAGTGTAGAAGGACCGCGTCCTCGCGCCTACCCTCTTTGTCTCATATTCACTGCCATGTTGATAGACGCATACCGTGATGAGCGCCCCAGGATACGCATCGGTTACGGAACTGAGAGACATCTTAACAGCAGGCACCTAGAGGCCCACACGCGACTATCTGCGACCACTGTTCATGACCTGTCCTTGCCGACGACTGCGTGCTCAGCACCACGACCGCAGAAGGCATACAAAGGAGCATAGAGTTCCTCGCTGCCAGATGCGATAGCCTCGGTCTTAAGATGGACCAAAACGCATTGAAAGGGATTTTATTTCCCTGTTACAACCTGCTGTTGTGTTGGTAAATTCGACACATAAACCAGGTGATGTAATAAGTTTAAAAACGATATCATATGCGACTCATGTTCTCTTGGACTAACGGAGGGTCAGCCTGACAGTTGCGAAGGAAATTAGGTCGTCACTACTTCGGAAGTATGTAACACGTTTAATGTTCTGCGTCAGCAAAAACTGTATACTAGCACGGGCAGTAAAATACCCTCTGTAGCCCCCTATGACAGCTTTTGTAAATTTGTGAACTCAGTCCCAAGAGAAGTTACGTCTAACGCCGAGCTTTAAACTAACTCGGAAGGATACCGAATAAACAAAAATATGGCTGACTGTATTCACATGAAACAAGCACCCGTCCGTGACTTTGAGCGCAAATACCTGATTTAGTCGATGAGAAATCACGGATCAACGCGTAAATGCCAGCCCTCGTCTCCAACCATTACATAATTCAGCGGAGACTTCATGTATATTGCTCGTGACCGGGGGGATTTTTATATGTCAACTAAAGAAATAATTTAAAAACAGAGGTCCTTTCTACCGAATTAAAAAGGAGGGATGTACACTACAGAGAAACGTCATCCGAAGGTTCTTTTGGGATTCTGGTGCAAACTCGAATGCGACATTGAAATTAGCAGTTTTCTGGCACTGGACGGCTCAACAAGCTTACTAAAACTTTGAGCCTCCGTCGAGGATGGGGCCGCCTTCAACTGAGGGGAAGGCGAATTAGTCTACTCGATCTGATCGCTCATGAAATCCAACTGTGACGGGGCTCCGAGACACAACAGGGTCATTCATGTTTGTTTATGTTCAGGTCTAAAAGGCCTAACGGATGTTGAGACGCATGTTGAGGTGGATAATGAGGAAGAACGTTAGTGTACAACTCTTCTTTGCTCGCTGCATGGGGTTATTTTTCTGCTTGCCATGAATAGACAATCTAGGGGTTTTTTGCGAAAAAGGAAAACTTCACTCCCTGAAAAACAGTCATAAGAGTTTAACTTTTCGAATGCCTTGAGTCCACTTTTAACTGCCCTAGTCAAACCTAAAGGCTAAACTTCGACAGAATTTTTGAAGGGTTTTCCCAGCTGGCTTACCTGTCACTTGATAAATCCTTCAAAGGTTTCGTCATCCTCCTGAGTGGTACGATTGCAGCACTAGGGACCTGTCTGCGCTACACTTGTGGCGGGGCTATTTGAACCCACCAGATGACAGCCTGGGCTGACAGCGCATCGCCTTCCCATTGGATGTGCGCGCAGTCAGCTTGGTCTCTGGATCCTCGCTCAATGATGATGATAATAGTGCGGCGACTGGTAGACCGGAGCCAACTCAATGTGCCGGTTGAATTGACTGACTTTTGAAGAATGGCATATTGTGAGATCTGTTCGGTCCTATAATTGCTCTTCGAAAGTTGAAGCTGAGCCAGTCTGTCTAATGTGAGCAGCGATAAGACATTCTGCTAGCGAGTTTCCGTGTTGCCGGTTGGTGTATGTACAGAGAAGTTTGCAGTTTCCGCCATTGTTGAAATCACAAAAAAATTTGTAGATGGCAGAGAGACCTTCTGTTCAACCTCCGAGATGACTTAGAGTACATTATATATCGACCGACAGACAACTTTAATGACATATCAATTAAGCATCCAAATTCAACGAGGTACTTCGTACCTAAATCCTAATCCTGACGACTGTCCATATAGGCAGAAGCGTCGCCCACAAAACACCTAGAATACTGGAGTGACGATTTCGAATTTATTTACGTCATAAGTAAGCCGTACTCCAACTATACTAATTCATATCTGACATCCCAATCCAGTTCCTTAATGATATTGGCGGATGGAAGGATAACTGGACTCGCGGGGTCTAAATCAAATTTTATTTGGCAAATACCGAAATGATCAAGCCGAACGAATTTCTCCCTAACCTTAACAACTCCGCAGGCAGATTCATCTATGGATGCTCTTCAGTCCTTCTAATAGAGACCATCCCTGATTTTTAAACAAAAGGCAATTCTACGGAAATATTTTTCAAAGGCATGGTCGAGAATACAGTGAGTGGCCGACCTCATGAAATGCTGGCCGGAATTCCAAAATACGCTCTCGATTAAGATGGATTACGTAGGTGGGGTTTTAATATTAATGCTCATACGACATAATCTCATGATATTTCGAACTTGCCAGGATGTCGAATGTGGAATGCATCCCTTTTCGACCTCCTACAGAATCCGCACTCGGTAAACAATGGCTACTTAGATAGCATGCATTTTTCATATTGATTTTCGATGCTCTTATAAATTCAAATATATTTTACAGAAAACATGTACGAAATATCCTTTATTTTAAGCTTTCGGTAGAAAACCGCATTGTCTTCGCATTTTCTGCCCGAAAAAGGTGTATATTTAGGTTTTAAAAAGTTTATAATTATGAGATTTTTTTAAAAATCGCTCAGTGTCCATTTATACAGCATCGTACCTTTCCACTTGCCAATGTTTCTCATGAAAAGCACAGCATAGTCCGCATCCATTGCAAAATCTCATGAACTCCATATGACATCTTTTTAAAAACGCAGAGGAATATACGATTTTCCCTCATGCAGAAAGCATGCATCTTGTGGGTTGAATTTGCTAAGCGCTAATGCGACGACTGATCAGACTCAAAATTATTCGGACATTTGGAAACTTTTTCATAACCTAAATATACCCCTTTTCGGGCAGAAAATGCAAAGACAATGTGGCATTCTACCAGATGAGTAGAAGAAAAGATACTTTTGTACATGTTTAATATAAACTATATTTTAGTTTATAAGAACATCGAAAATTAATATGAAAAATGCTTGCTAATTAAGTAGCCATTGTTTACCGAGTGCGCATTCTGTAGGAGGTCGAAAAGAGACGCATTCCATAGCCGACGTCCTGGCAAGTTAGAAATATCCTGAGATTGTGTCGCATGAGGATTAATATTACAACCCCACCTACATAATCCATCTTAATCGAGAGCGCATTTTAAAATTCCGGTCACTCAGTGTATATTTCCAAGACTAGACAGCCATGTTAAGAGCAGTAGGCAAACGCTGTGGCCTTTGAATGGAGAAGAGAAAAGCAAAGCTTTGGCTTTAGGTCGCCTCTGTTGTGAGACCAGCCTCCAGGAGCGCTCCAATTGCCCGCACAACGGTGTGAGGAACCCACGCACTCAACATGCCTTTTCAATCTAATTAGAACAAATTCGGGTCCAAAGGCTTGCACATTGACGCGCTCAAAATGGGCTACATTCACACAAGACTAATCAACTCTCCGTATTAGTCAGTTGGTTCATGCAGCTTGCAATTTGATTCATTTTTCCAATATTTTGTCAGCACTGAGAGGTGGCTCCGCAGGAACGTGCAGGTGTACGTGAATTTGCTTCGTGTTAAATACATATCAGCATGCCGTTACAAAAATGTTTCTATCTTTATACGGTGGGAAGTGCTTATAAAAAGACTCACATCTAAGATGTGACACAGTTAGGACGCTTAGAGTAAGGTGGATGACGAGTACAAACGGCAGTCTTCAAATTTTGGAAGCAAGGGAGTCGTAATTAAATACAATTTTTTTGATCGAAAACTAACCAGTCACAAAGGCTGCCGGTAGTCCTTATTATCGGTCTATAAAGAGATGCAGGTGGAAATTGACGATACGATTATTTATATCAATCACCAACTAAGATGAAAATCTGGCCTTTAACAATGGGACATTTGAATGGAAGGATAACATCGAAGTCAGATTAGAAGCATAACCATGTACAGTTCGTAGCCTATGAGAAGAAAGGTCACGAAGTTCGCACCAAAACCCCCATAAGAAATGAACTGTCTCCCCCGAATCTCCGAAAGTTATAGCGTGTTAGAAAAACGATCAGGCTTCAAAAGAAGACATTGTTTGGTTCATAAATCGTTATTTAAGTCAATTTATCGAAAACATCAAAGCAAATAAAAGGCCGTATGACAGGTGAAATATTTAAAGCTTAATGTAACTGACAGCAGTCTAGAGAAATAGGATACAATAGCAAAATAATGGATCGCCCTATTACTCTTAAAATTGCTGTAAGCCGGATGGATGCAGAGGCCACGAAGTTGTCTATGTTGGTTCTTTCAATAGAATTATTAAGTACAGAATCCAGCTTTTGCTGCATTGAACGGTGCTTCCTTGCATTGTCCCAGTTTCTTTTGATTAGCGTAAGGAGATTTTTGGTCGGAGTGAGGTTCGGACTATCGGCAGGAATAAAAGGGCTTCTCAGGTCGCAGATTGAGAAGTTGGCTGGGGTCGTGGGCTAAACAAGAATAATAACTCCTCCGAGCGGTGGACAGGAGCACTATTTTGCAAAATTACATGTCTTTGTGACGTTCAAAAATGCCGCCGTAATCAAAGGCATCCTTCACGATGTCTATGAACACCTTGTTATTGATGGTCCCGCTTGTTGGCCGCCAGATCGGTCGCCCTCCGGATCTTACGACCATTAAAATCATCAGGCGTCGATGGCCCTTGAAAGGTGTTCTCAGTACAGTGTGTTCTTCGTGGGGAGTCCCTCCCTCACCTGGGCTGACTTCGGTTTGTTTAAAAATACGACCTCATCACAAAAGTAAATGATTTTCCATAATGAATTTTTTGATCAGTATGCTCTTGGGCAAACGAAGAACGTTCTCTGACAAGTTTACCAATTTAGAATACCCTCATTATAACGCTTTGCTGATGAAGTATGAATTCTTTCATCCTTTCTCTAATTGTGTGCGGATAGAACGTTGACAAATGCTCTCTTGAACGGCCTCAAAGGAGATGTAATGGCATATTTTGGTGTACGACAAATGAACCCATCGTCTGCCCTGTTTGTGCAACACCTTCAGTCCATCTTACTTAACTTAAGACTGCCGACTCATTCAACAGCCTTCCGGCCGCAAAGATTCCTGTGCGCTCAAAGTCGACGTCCGCCAGGAACTGCTTCGACACCTTCATCAAACAGCATGTCGCGGGGTAGTCAGCCGCGTATTTGCAAAAATAGAATTTCCTAAGTTTCATGCTCTCCCTTTTTCCCGAAAACAATGCGATGTCGCAAAACTAAATCCGCCTAATTTTCCCGAACGCAACATCCTATTTCTCGTTTACAAAAGCAATTTACTCGAAAAGTTTCCTGCTTATGTTAATATTTTTTAGTACGCAACGCGCAAAAACAAGATGCTTCGAAATTTGTAATTTAATGGCTTAGGAAATTACTGGGCAATAGAAAATGTAGGATTTTTTTTCTAATCATGGCCTGTTTTGCTCCGATGAAATCGATTTGGACTGAATTCCTCCGTAGTTAAGGGCTTTCAGGATCTCAAATGAATTCAGTAAACGAAGATAACCCTACTAAATGCATGCGGTACTAGCCACTCAAATGTTGACCAGGACACTTCATGAGTTAGATCATCTACTATAGATAATCAAGGATATTTTGAAAATCGCTCGGCAGCTTGAACGTCGTTTCCAACGATTCCGCCGTGTGCCCCATAATATTGTGGGAGCAGGGACGGCGACTTACGCATAAAACTTGTTCATAATGATAGTGTACGTGTGCCGCATCTACCTAACACCCTCCTCCCTCATTTATCTGAGTTGGGCATAAGAAACGAGCCAAGAAAACCGGGAGGGGGGCGGAATCAGATGCAGGTGGGTGGCGCGGCGCGAGCCTGCGTCTAGGCGAGCCAACACATCCCAGGCCCTGATCTGGACTCCGTGCCGGTCCAGCGCAACTCCCGCGTGGCCGGTTTTAGGGGGCAGTGACGTTTGCGCACGCAACATTTAACGAACTTGCCTTTGAACCGTTGTCTGGTGCACTAGTCCAGTTCAATTATTTGCGAACTTTAACGCACAGTGTGGACTTTAAAATCTCCTCTCTCTTCCGGATTACGCAGATTAGTGAGCTGACAAAAGGTATCTGCGTCCAACAAATAAAAGTGCACAAAAAGATCATGTATACAAGGTTGTCTTTGACAAGAGGTCATTTGACCTGCGTAAGTTCTACTGCACGAAAAGCACCCAGTCGTCATTTCAAGCATTATGTCGCCTATGGGATTCACGCGCTTTAGGGAATTCGCACTTTGGTGTATACGTCCGAGTGAGGGCAATATGACACTGAACCTTTAGTAAAGCTTGGAGATAAGTCTCCCCAACCTGAAGTAGCATGCTTAAATCGGTAAAATCCTCTGTTCAGCCTCTGTGCCTAATTTTCCTTGAAATACTACGACTCAACGTTAATAAGCTGTTCCAACAAGTCGGTAATTGAGCTCCTGCCACACTCGCTGAAGCATATCTTGTCTAACAGTCTTCAGAGTCTCAGCGATTATTTCCCGGAGTTCTTATACACATATAGGAGATGCTAGGACATAGATCAGTTCCTTCACATTACCAAACAGTAAGAAATCACACTGCATCAAGTGAGGTGAGCGTGAGGGACATTTCAGTAACTCGTTCTCTCCATCAACAGCACGTCCGATCCATCTTTCTGACAGTCTTTCCGTCGATATGTGCTCGCACTGTGTGGTAGAGCCTCATTTTGCTGAAAAATCAATAGGACATGTTTATTTGCCTCAATTAACTCAAGCATGCAGTTCTGAAGCATATCTTATTAGTTGTTGCCGGTCACATTTCTCTCGAATAAAAGTGGGTCATACTCACGGTTCTTTGGGATGGAGTAGAACACATTCATTTACTGGACCTCTTTCATGTTTGATTCTGGCATGGGAACCCTTTTCATCCCGAATGCGAACGTTTTTCTCGTTCACTTTGCCAATCATATGGGTAGTAGCCTCATCAGTAAAATCGAGACGGTTTTCCAAATCGTTGTCTTCAAGTCTCTTTTGAATATCTTCATGCTTTTGCTTGTCACCCAGCTTTAAAGCCTGTACAAGCTGAATTTCGTAGGGGATTATTCACAGACGTCTTAGCACTATATGCCAAATAGTTGAGTTGGGAGTCTGGGTTTCCGGGCTTGCTCCTCGCACTTCGCTCGCAATCTCTTCCGAAACTGCCGGTCGCCCAGATCCTTCCTCAGACACAAGCAGACTTCTCCTTCCCAAATTAGCCCTAACTGTTGGCGCCTGTTAATGAAATCTTTGAACACATGCACATTGTGAATCCATATATGGCCGAGTTTGGGTGTCCTTCAAGAAACAAGACTTATTTTTCTTTTCCTGAAAAGAAAGACATACTAAAGGTTGGCTGTTTTAATATATATCGAATTCATGACATGCTGCTATCATTTGCGACGATTTGTTCACGCTATTAGGTAGCAAAGTGAAGTCAGATTTGTATGGAACACCCTGTGTTTTAGAAGTCAATTATCTAAAGTTAAAACACCACATAACTAGTTTGGTCGCATCAAATGAATAGAATAGTGAAAAAACGACAAATGTAAAGCAACAATTCCGATCGACTGATATCTCACTCCAGTGAGTCTTTTAGATATCCAAATAGTCTATAGCAGACTTGTCCATGCAATTAGGTAGAACATAAGTAAGCCTCGCATTGTCACTTCGTCTTTTCGCCTACCATGGAACTTTCGGTGAGTTTTAAGTCGGGGTTGTTTGCAGAAATAAAAAGATTCAGAAGCCACAGGTGTCATAACGCACTGCGAATTCGAGAGATCGACGACTCAGTCTCACTTGGTGACACCTTTTTTATGATTTCGGTAGTTTTTTTGTTTCTCACAGTCTGCTCCAAAGTAAGTGTTTGTGCTGCAGACAAGACCATCTAGTCACAAAATAGAAAGGCGAGGATATGACATGTTATCCCCTTGGGGAGACCGTAGTTAGTTACAAATCTAACGCCAATCATTTTCATGGCTTCAGTGGAAAATCTCTAACTTCTAAGCAGTTAAGGGGAAGTCGGACATAACGGTAACCTTTAGTGAGGCCCTAGAACCCTAACTCTAGCCTCAACCCCAAATCGGAACCATAGCCCAAGGCTGACAAGCCTGTCTCCAAGAATAATCCAACGAAAACCAATTTTAACCGTCGTCCAAACCCTAACCATGAGCTCAAAATGGGCAACCATATTATTGATAGCGTTATTAAGAATCAAAATATGCTTCCTGCATAAAAACTTTCGCAACCTACTACCAGACACACCGTTATGAACCACACCAACCACCCAGGGGGGTTACACACCCTACCCTTACTAATAGTAGGAAACCAATATAGTCCTGCTGGGGAAATAGACATCGTACACAAGTTCTCCAGCTTTGCGATAACCTCGAAGGCTTGAGCCCAACTGTGCCACATTTTAAGCTCGTCTGTCACGCTGTGGGTCAACTTTAGGATCCCTCTAGTCTGCGGATGTAGACACCGTTGACTACCAATGGTCCTGGTTGGGAATCGAAGTTACACACCCCAAGACAGACACCTCACAATCTCTCTCGTCTTCGCAACTGCTTCCTCAACGCACCCTGAGAACGTACTTGACAGAAGATGATGATGACTTAACCCATCGGGGCGAAGCACGTTTCTTTGTTTTTAACTTGTACCTGTATTATCGGTATGCTGGGTCACGCAATATATATACATATAATGATAGGAGAGGGGCGCTCACCTATCACTTTTATGGGACTTACTCGGTCCCTTGTGCCAGCAGCCGCGGAGCGGCGCATGATACAGGCATGATAACATTGCCGAGCCAGGTCTTCCCCACCTTGGGGTAGAGAATAACTGGCTGACGACGGCTAACAAGATAGAAATGGCCACTCCATTCTCCCTTGTCTTTGTCGGGAGTGCCATTCTGCCTATATGTATGTATAGAGTTTGCAGGCGAACGTATCTGTAGCCCGTTCGGTAAACACACCTCGATCCTAGTCAATATATTGGATGTCAGCCGAAGGGGAAACGGGCCCACTGCCCAACCGACCTAGCGTTGGACTTCCTAACGTTCTGTAACACAAAGAACGCAGGTTCGGACCTCAGGTGCCCCCAAACCTGTAGTCGGTTAAGGCCTACTGACGACGGTTAATATGTTAAAAATAGCCATCCCAGTCCCTCTTATCTTTGTCGGCAATCTCGTTCTGCCTAGACTAGTAGCCGCTGTGATGCTGCCTTCGAGGCACTAAGTCACGCCCTGCAGGCAACTACACGGCGACTAAATAAAAGAACAAAAAATATTACCATCGAAGGCAAGGGGACAGGAATGTCTATTTCTGGTTCGTTATTCGTCATAACCCAACCATGCACAACCCCGAGGCTTGAATCCGCGTCCAGTTATTTAGAAGTTCAACGCCCTAACTATTGAACCACGAGCTCATTCTCTTGCTGGTTGAGAGACTGAGCCCCAAGGCACAGCAGGACGAGTGTGTCCCGCAACGCGACCGGTGAGCGTCACTCTACCATCGTTAACAAACGCGACTACAACCCACAGGACAGTGAGCCTGTGGTTCATTAGTTAGGGCGTTGGACTACTAACTAACAGGCCGCGGGGATGAGCCGCAGGTGTTTCACAGCTCAGGGTTGGGTGTGGCTGGCTGATGACCGCTAATATGCTAGAAATGGCCATTTCAGTCTCCCTTGTCTTTGTCGATGATGTCACTCTGTTTTTGATACTAGCTGCTAAGCGCCTGTTGGCGGGGCTCAAGCTTGAGTCCTAAGGAAAAACCAGCCGAGTGTGTCACGCAAAGCAATTGGCGAGAGCCTCTTTACTAAATAACTGTGTTCGGTGTTAAGGTGGGTTGGATGGTGGTCAACATACAGAAGCAATATTAACGTTAAATGGGCATTTTGAGAATTTGCGCGGTCGCTACAACGGGAGAAAATGGTGGTAGGACCGCAGTATGTTGGTATAACTCTTGTGAATGAAAGATGAAAGGATGGGGAAGTAATATGTTCTTCTAAAAAGGGGTTTAAAACTTGCATGATAACCAGGTTTGAGACCAAGGAAACAATGCATCAAAAGCCGGGGGATCAACCAATTTTTTTGCAGAAAATCAATTAGTTATTTTTGAGGGCTGCTATTCAAAAGTATGTGTATTGCCGAGCGGGATTTGGTTGAAATTTAAAAGGACCCGAGGGTCAGAAGGTTAAAAAGCCCAAATATATCACCTAGTCACCTATTTTTTCCAACTACCGTGCGCGCAATATTACTAGCTAGACTGGTCGTAGAGGTGAAAGGTAATGCTGTTCATAAATACCGACCGTACAGAAAATCAGGGCCCCAGACATGTGAATCCAAACTTTACAAGGTCGGAAGCATCCAGCAAAAAGAGAACGTGAGAAATCATTGGCAGATTTCATTTGCTGTGCTTCAATAAGTTCGCATTGTTAAACATTGAACGACTTCCGTGCCATTTTTCTGCTGACCCTCACGTTTCTCCAACCATGCCTTACTGACAACGGCATGCGTCTTAAAAAGTACCTATGGTTTCGCGCTGCACAGCGGGCTTTTGCGTTCATTTGACCAGCCGTTTCTGCGATACGATTGGTCAGAGAGCGAACGAATGAGAAATTAGGAAGGTGAGCGGCGGCACTTCGTAATCTCACCGCCGTTCATTAACAGACATAGAAAGCGCCGGGTACGTGCTCGTCCTTGGGCTTTTGGGTGTTTATTTCGAGGGATGTTTTGTCCGATATAGTAGCAGGTTTTTAAATTGTACTTCCTGAAAACAAGTAAACATTATACGTTATTATGCCAAATACAATCTGATTGTTTTCTACTGATAAGTGGGAAGTAATAACCACATAAAATCCTAATTTCAAGTAAATACAAATGATTGTTACGTATGGAATTTAACAATATGCGAGAAAACTTCATGGGTGTTTTGTCCGATAGTCATGCAGAAATTCCTCAGACTAAAACCCAAAACGGAGTATTTGCACAAACTATAGTTTTTGCTAACAACGCAAGTTCTAAAACGGAGTATCTCCTGCAGAGATATGTCAAAACAATATACTCCTGCTTTGAGATGGATTTTAGTGCCAGATCCTTAACCAAGTAGGCTAAGTAGGCCGAGCGCTTAGGGCCTGTCGAACCAAAAAATCCGCCCCTTTTCTTAAGTAGATGATAAGGAATATTGGATTTTATTTTTGTTAAAGAAGACATCAAACCAGATCTGTCCAGTACTGAAAATGTTCTTAGTTTAAGCAATATGTTCGAAAAGAGAGGAAAACAACTGCATCACCCACAGATTTAGAATGAAGTCTAAAATGCCTTTGCAGGGTATACGTTCTGCTTACGTCAGAAGTTTACTAATTGGCTGTGGTATTTCCAGGCAGAAGGAAGACTCCATTGACGATAAGTTCATATTTAAATAGAGCTATGCAGGTACGGAATGGGACTTTGGCAGTAAGCATATCAAATTGATGTCCTACGGGAACAACTGACACCAAACCGTGTTCTTCCAGGGAGTCTAGACGGCTGCATCTTTCTCAAGTAAAGAAGCCTAAGTAACCTCTTTTGTGACAAGTCTCGTAAGAGGATTTCTGCCAGAGATAGGGCAATGAGGTGCCCAGAACTATAAACAGAATGAACTGCCGACAATGACGAGGGAGACTGGGATTGCTATTTCTGACTTGTTAGCCGTCGCCAGAAAGGTATACTCGACCTCAGGTCCAAATGACCTGGGTTTCAAAGCATGATTCCCTAGCCATTGAGCGTTACGTAGTCCTACGCTCTACCAGTTAGCCACGGACTTGTTGGCCCGTCGGTTGCAGTCCAAATCCTTAATTACGGTTTAGAGTGACAGGCACTGGACTTGCCGATAGTAAGCTCACACTTGAGTACCATTAAAACTCAGTCAAACTTCTTGACACGGCTGACGTCCAACAAGACGTTGCAGGACAGATCCAACTAGCCCGTTGAAATAGCAAGAAAATGTATCAAACATTCTGAAATACATACGTTGGTGAATGTACTTGGAGGTGAGTTTGGACAGTTTTCTATCTTAGGATTTCCGACAGACCTTAATGCCTTCTAACCTCCGGGGTCAAAATATTTGAATCTCATATGCATTTAAGAGAACGTTTGGTGCAGTAGCGTCCCTACACTTCAGGATCAGGCCATTAGAGTTGATCTGATTAGCACCTATTTCAAATCGATAGAATGAGAGACCGGTGTTGAGTAAGTCAGGCAGTTTATGTCTGGGTTCACGTCATTTGGGCTAATCACTATCTGAGCCAAATCGTTCGCCGTGAAACCCCATGGAACTCTTCGTGTACCTTTTAGGATGCTCTTCCGAATGCTGTCCCTAAGCAAACTGCGAAGTTCCTACTTTGTGGCTTTTGTACTGGGTGTCGTCTCGTGTATGCTTCTTATTTACACGAACGACTTACACACTCTGGAAGTTTCGTCTTCCTCCTTTGATAAGGAAGCCTTCAGCCAACGTCTCGGTAAGTCGATCGATCACATATCAGAAGAGTTGATTTAAAATGGAAAAGGGTCTCGTTAACCTTGTGTGTATTTATGGGTCTTAAGTATTGTGTGCGCATGTCATGCCACGCCTCAGCAAACCATGACCCTCACTGGCAGTTCTCTGACACCTGATTCTCTGTGGGTGGATGTGCTCGTGTCCCCCTGATGAGTATACGGGCCGTGCGTATGGGTGTCCAGTGACTGACGTGTGATACCTCTCTTTCTGAGCCTTTTTGTTGTTGGTAAAAAGCCCGGTCAAGCAACATTTGCAGACCAGGGGGTGTGAATTGGAACGCCAAGGTGCGCATCCTGCCGTGCCATCCACCTGCGCTCTCCCTCACCTCCGGTCTTCTTGACTGTCTGTCTGAAACCGGGCTCAGGTGGGAAGGAGCAGAGAGAGAGAGAGAGAGAGAGCGGTAGATGCTGTGCAAGTCTGCTTTCACAATGAACTGCTTCACGCATAAGTCGCCGAGCCTGCTCACATCTTGTTGTGGAGCACACAGCAGACATCATCTTTTATGATGGTCGGACTGTTAGTCCTAGCCGCATTCTGCAAAATCCAATTGATTGTGCGGAACACCAGATCGCGCAACGCCAGACTTACTGATGACACGCGTTTATCATGCCAGACTATAGCTTCTGCCTTACGTGCGTGTGGCGTGTCACGCCTCGGACGGAGGCTTTCATGTCGTGTCGGCCACTGCGCCCAATCCCTTTACCAGCTGACTGACAGGTTCAGACAGTTGGCCGGTGCATGACTAAGAGAGAAGTGCGGATAAGACCGGGAGAATTCATCAGTACGGCACACCAGCGCCTAATTCCTCATAAAAAGCCAGCACGCGCGTTGAATCAATCACGACGCGTTAACAGTCCTGGCTTGGAGGGCTGGCAACTGAAACGACAACTTGGTTCATCACGAAACCGAGTGTCGGGACCCACCGGCTCCTTTATGTGACTCTTGTGGAATCCCCACTGACGTGAGATCCCAGTTGCCTTCACAGAAGTCTGCACATGTTTTGGAGACAAACCCGCGCAGCTGAACTGTTTAGTCTTGTCAGGCGCTGAGCTAACACACCCGTCCGCCGTCGTTGCGACCTTGTCTCGCCATCGGAACATGGTGGACATTGGAAGATTGAAGTGACCCAAGGGCTGTGCAAACGGCTTCACGATAAGCCAATTCGCATGCAAATCACATGTGTGCATTCCTTACGGTGCGTGATGGGCCCCGTCACCTGTGACGATCAAACTGCCGTCTGTTCACTCAGAGGGCAACAAAGAGGCTCGGGTGTTCCACACTTCGGGCTTGGGTATGGCTGGCTGACGACGGCTAATAAGCCAGAAATGGCCATTCCAGTCTCCCTTGTCTTTGTCGGTAATACTATTCTGGCAACAAAGAGTGTCCTTAAACACGACCAAGAAGTAGGGTTTTCGCTGTCCTGTGCGGGACTTCTCTGTCCGCTCGGCCTCTTTATAAATCAGATTGGCGCAGAAATGTCGAACAGCAGTTCAAAAATCCTGTCTTTACTGGTAAAGCGAACATCAGTGGCAAAACCGCACGAAAAGGTGAAGACCCAAGAAAATTTTGCGTATAATAGAGCAGCAAAATTTTACAGGCGTCGTGCTCGTAAAAAAACTTTGGTTCAAGCCCTAAAATCGCTTTGGATCAAGCTATGCTGTAAATGTTCGTGTCCGCATCCTACCACGTAGCGTTACAGTGAAGAAATATGGCAGGTTCTCCCCCCTTTCTCCCTCCTCCCCATGCTCCTAACACAATTGAGCCGTACTCACCTCTGGTTCTGACAGTTCTGGACACCCTCAACCCTCTCCATAATGACATGTATTTACTTAGAAGTCCTAAAGCTGTTCACGAGCCATTAAGCCGCTGGTCCAGTACAGAGAGTTGAGAGCGGGCGAATTTAATAGTAGTGCTAAAATCTACAGTAGGTGGGCTAACTCATGAAATGTCAACCGAAATTCCGAAATGCGTTTTCGTTTCGAAAAGATTAATTAAGTAGCGTTGTAAAACTAGTCAGCTTGCAATATAATTCTATAATGTTTCAGTTAGCTTAGAGGGCCGGCTATCGAATGAACTTCTTTCCTTCATACAAAATCTACACTTTGCAAAAAATGATTAATTATGTGGCGTGCATTTTTCTCATTGATTTTCGATGCCCCTAGAAGTCCAATCATGGAAAACATGCATAAGAATATTCATTCCTTTGCTCATTCGGTTAATAATTACGTCTTCTTCCAATCTTATACTCGAAGGAAGGGTATATTTTGATTTACAAAAAGTTTTCCAAATCGCGAATAATTTTGAACATGCTCTACCGTTACACTTGGATTCGGGGTTTCTAAAGTACAAGCAGTATGTTTTCCGTGTACGGCAAACCAAACATTTTTTCTAAGTTAATTAAGTGGGACCATATAGGGTTCATAAAATATAGAAGTGAACTTGATCCATATTGTTAAATTTACGAGCCACAGAGACATGGCGATTTATGCACGGCCATTTAACGGTATTTAAAAGTCTTACAATTAGAAACTTTTTAAAACCGATTTATGTCCCTCCTTCGAGCATAATATTAGAAGAAGAAGAAGAAGAAGAAGAAGAAGAAGAAGAAGAAGAAGAAGACGTAATTGTCTGCCAACTGAGCAAAAGAATGAATATTCTTATGCATGTTTTTCGTGATTAGACTTTTAGGGACATCGAAAATCAATGAGAAACATGCATGCCACATAAGTAATCCATTTTTGCAGAATGTTGTCCTTTCATGCATCCAGAGCAAAGTTCATTCGAAAGCAGACATCCTTAAGTAACTGAAATATTATAGGATTATGTTGCAGGCTAACTAGTTTTCCAACCCTACTTAATTAATCTTTTCGAAAGGAAATGCATTTCGGAATTTCGGTTGGCATTTCATGAGTTAGCCCACCTACTGTCCACTTTGTCTTTATTGAAAAAAAGCGCATTTCCACTTAGGAGTAATAGTAAGTTTGATAAAGAGTAGGAGCGATCGCTGGAGTTGGAGCTTTATTCGCCTAGCGTTCCGGATTCTCACCCGAAACCCTCGTCAGAGACAGTGACAGATACGGGTTTATTTCCTAGAATGAAAACAAATGTGGACGTCTTAGGAAGACAGCCTTCTGTATATGTGGGGAATTTAAAAAGTTCGGTGAATATTAGAACCTTCGGGGAACTTTGCGCGATAAGCTTTTTGATTTTTTCGTTGCTCTAGAATAAAATCAAATAATAACTTAAACCAAAGAAACTCTGTCGGAATTTTACATGATAAATCAGTATGATATATGGCGGAATATTCCTATTTTGCAACCTGTTAGTTAGGAGGCCGACGCCCTAACCTTTGATGCACGGGCTCGTTGTCCTCTCTGATGCGATCGAGTATATTAAAAGTTGTAGAGGGGGCACGTACCGACCATGTTGCGGAATTCACTCGTCCCGCTGTGTTTTAGGGCTCTCTCTCTAGTCCCGTCAACAGCCACACAGAGGTGAATAATATAGGCAGAATAGCATCGTTGATCGCAACCGACAGGACAACGAACGGGTAGCTCACTAGTTAGGGCGTTTGACTTCTAAGCAACAGGTCACAAGTTCGACCCCCGAGAATCGGATATCTCAAAGTTGAGTATTGCCGGCTATTGACAGCTAACAAGGTAGAAATGGCTATTCCAGTCTCTCTTGTCCTTGTCGGTAATGCCATTCTGCCTATATCACACGCCGCTGTGCGGCTGCTGGCGGGGCTCTAAGGAGTGCCCGTAAGGCGCAACGGGACGAGTGAGTTTCGTAGAAAAACGATCGGTGAACGCCACTCTACCATTATTACAATTTATTATGTTGGCTAAGTCTGAGATTCGGCAAGGGGTTTAAGTAATCAAGATAGACACATTTGTGAAAGTACGGCGGCTACAGTTATAACTTCCGATTTGCAGGTTTCTCGGTATGAAAGACCGGATATGAAACAAGTTCGCACACGCGGTTGCTCATTAAAAGGCAGTTATACATGAAGAGTGCGTCAGTGAGGACAAGAACATTTGAATTGCCATTTCTGGGAGGGGAATCAAAGCGTAGTTTTAACGTTCCGCGTTACCGTTGAACCACAGCACTGAGCCTGATTAAAATTTGGCAAAAGAGGCATTTCCGAAATCACAAGAGTAGACGGGCACGAAGTCGATTAAATTGGAGTAACGAGGCCACGCCAGGTGAGCACCTCAAATTAACTATTGTGCAGCGATGTTACCGTATGAGCACTTAAATATTAAAAATCCTTGAACATCGCTACCACGTCTCGAAGTCAAGCATCCAACCATCATGCGATTGTCTCCGAAGTAGAAGGGCCAGAGTACTCTCAGGAACGAATGACAAAGGCCACGACGACAGCGATCATGACGACGATGGCGGACAACACCACCACCACCACTAATAGTTCGACTGTCATGGCGAGACCCACCGTGCGCCCACGAACTGAGCTCAGGCCGATTACTTGCGGCTGACTTGCGCCGCACCTACCTCATTCTCTTCTCACCCACCTTTCTCAGACGCAGAGGCATTTTTGAGACTGTCGGAAGTGGGTATGGGGAGCCAGCACCCCATCCTCATCATCATCATCATCATCATCATCATCATCATCATGGCCACCGTCATTGCCGTTGTCCAAAACAACAGCGCAATGCCAATAATAATGTGAATGGCCACTTCGACGACTACGATCTTTAACGACGTTTTTAAATGACCATCGACTGTAATGATGGTAAAACGGTAAGGTGTGTTTTTGTAGCCCCACCTGATAGACACAATACGGTTGGAGTTGGGATTAAGGGTTAGGGGTTAGGGTTAAGGGTTAGGACTAGCGCCTGGGGTTTAGAATAAAGGACTACAGTTAGGGCTAGGCTTAGGGGCTAGCGCAACTACTTCTTAACAATTGAAAGTACAACCACGAACTCCCCATAGCTTTTCTTTTGCATACAAGTACTTGACCTCATCAACTGTGCGTTTTCCGGCTCCACCTGTAAAACCCCTATTACCACCGGTCCCGTATTAGACGTGACTGAGGTTTGTTCACTTCAGGTGGGGCTGTAAAACCACATCCGATCGGTGAAACTGCTGACTTCCCTAACTCAGAGATAATCAGTTTTAATTCGCATTTCATTTGTATAATAGGGGCTACGTTTACGAACCTGGAGCCTAAAAAAGCGTTTTTGTAAATAAAATTGTAGCACGAAGGAGGGCGAGAGTGAAACTAAGAAGGCTGGAAATAGAAAGCTTTCGATCTACAACCCATCTACTTGCACAAGTTGTTAAGACTCTTAAGAAGTGGTATGCGGCAGTTAGTATACTTCTAAAGGAGAAATGAATCGTTTCTTTAGGGGATATGATAATATCAATTCTGTCGTCGCCGCTGTTTACTATATGTATTTATTGAAATCTAAGTTATCGCACACACAAGCACAGGAAAACCTGATCCTTGGTTTTTGCTGAACATCTGCGACTGCTTGTTTGAAACGCCGGTCAAAAGACCCGCCCGTCCGAACTGCATACCAGCAAAGGTCAGGTAACTCTTATGGATGGTGCGAAAGGCAGACATAATCGGGCATCTCTCAAAGTTGCTCAGGATTGAACCTCTAGTCCTTACGTGTCGTACTGTCTTAAGTTATATCGCCGTAATCCTCCACTTACAGATCCCGAAGAGCAATTCAGGCATCCCGCAGTAGAGATGGCACCTTTGGAACGTGATGAGAAACTGCGGAGAGGCGAATACAGTTGCCCTTCACGAATGGAAGCGAATATGCGAGTCCCAGGATCCTGCTGCAAAAAAGACGAACCCGCAATCACTGAGGCAGTACGTGTGTTAGTCTGAGCTTTCGGTCTCTTACAAGGTGGACTCAGCCTTACGGCGAACACCACCACCGCCTCCGCTCCTATCCCCCCAACTCCTTTGTTTGACTACAAAACTGCGCATTTGACGCCGCACCCTCACAGTCTCTGTGTGAGAGCGAAAGCCCACGTACTGCTGCAGTGATCACGCGTTCATGTTCTCTGCAGCAGTTGCCCTTCTTTGTTCACTTAGCGTCCTTTATCTGTCATACCCTACCGTGGTGAAGTCTCGGCATCTTGACCAAAACCAGCGAGGCAGGCAGCCAATGAGCTATGGGCTTCCGACCCTGGTTTGGGGTAAAACGTGCAGACAAGAAACAGTAATGCCAGTCTCGATTGCAAGCCCTTGTCTGCATGCGGTCGCACGCGGGAGCCGTTTTCAAGGGGGGAGGGGGGGGGGCAAAATCTAAACAGAACGCCTATGAAGTCTTTTTGTGCCTCAGACCGAGTGCCTAAATACCCTCCGCAGCTTCTCGGTAGGGCCTACTCTTCCTAGCATTATGTAGCCTTTGCATGAAAATGTCACAAGTACTTTGTTGTTTAGGTGAGAACTTTTTGGCCGACGAATTGGCGATCAAGGTTAGAATCTACTGCTTCATTTTGACTACGCCAGCTGCAAAAGAAGTGAAGGCGGTCCACGTGAGGGAGACCTGGGCCAGTCGGTTCGACAAGTTCGTCTTCATTAGCAGTGAGGACGACCCGGATTTCCCCGCGTTAAGTTAGTTTTCTCAGCATTTTCCTACCTCTAACGCCTACTCTACATCCTCCAAGTTTGATAAAAAGTTTCTTTTAGGACTCCCACTGAGTACTGCATCGAGAAATATTTCATTTCCTGTTAGTCAAATGCTCCCACATGATCCTCGATTTCTACCGGACGTCACGAAATCGACCGGTTTTCTGTATTGCAGCAATGCATTTTGTTAGTCGAAATTAGGCGGCCGTTGTGACTGTACGATGCAGTTATATCTTGCTGGGATATCTTTTAAATAGCACGAGAAGGGCGTTTTTCTACAGTCTAGAGTCCGTCACAGACAGTAACAGCGATATGTGATCATGCAGGGAGGCCGGCGAAAATAGAGGAGACTGGGATGGCAACTCCTGGCTTACTAGTCGTCCCGAGTCAATCATACCAAATACCTGGGTCTGTGTAACCTGAAATTTGAGCCCGGATTCTTTGGTAAGTGAGTCTGTATCCCAGCGCTCCACCACGAAGCCACGAGCCCCGTTGTGCTGCCGGTCGCAATAGGGGATATTCACTATTGTGTGGAGGGACTTCATCGATCCGTGTTCGAATCGCTGGTTGTCTGTACCTAGGGCCTATGCTATTTCGCGCAGACGTTGAAAATAGGGTAAGTCAGTTAACCAGACCCCAGGCCGTCGCGGTTTGGTGATGTTACTGTTGTGCGTTTGCAGATGCTTATCCGTCAGTCACAAATTAGCTCGTTTCTTAGTTTGTTACCCACGAGCCTTGACCTCACCGGATAATCAACAGTTAGGGTAGCGGACAGGACCACTTTATTTGCACCAGTAAGCGAAACTTGACAAACTGTGTAAGCCAACTTTGGATGTAGAAGCGATTCCACAATGAGTTCGCAGCAATGCTTGAGGGCGTCCCAATGTCAACTAGAATTGCGTAATATGCTTTTGAATAGAATTAAGTGCTTTGGTGGGGCCATGTTGCAACATAATTCGAAGATATTAAAACAACGCCAAGATGCTGGATTCTGAGTGGCTTCCTTTGTCGCCGCTCGTAAAATCCACACTAGGTAAAACGGGCTGCTCTAGTAGTATGAATTTCTGCGTTGATTTTCGAGGGCATTATAAGTTAAAGTATATTTTGCAAAAAAATGCACGAAAACATTCTTTCCCCATTGTCATGTGATAGCAAATAACATCTTCTTGACATATTATACTTCAAGAAAGGGTAACTTTCGGTCTGAAAGGTTCTTAATTTCGAGATATCTTAAAAACGTGGAATTCGCTTTCATATAGCCTTATGTCTGTTTATTTCTTAATGTTTCCCATGAAGTATGCAACAGGATCCGCATTCAATGCCACAATCTTATGAGCGATATATGAGGTCTTCCTAAGAGGGTAGAAAAATACATGATTTTCCTCACACGGAGAGTTTACAGCGTATATTTCGGAAGCCCTACGCGCTAGCGCAATTGGATGTGGTGTTCAAAATTATTCGGGAACTGAACAGTATTTTCAACACCTGCAGATACACTTTCTTCCCACATTAAATTTGAAAAAGACTGCAATTTGCTATCAGAGGAGTATAGGAAGGTATTTTCTCTTATGCTTTCCATAAACTATTTAAAGTTGTGAGAGCATCGGAAATAAATGAAACAAATTCGTACTATTTAAATGGACTTTTTTTTACTAGCAAGGCTTTTGCAGACCGGCATCCTGCAGCGGTCGGAAAATGTTAACCTTACTCTAGGCGAAAATCACCAACGTAATCCTTTCCAGGCAAGAAAACATTTTGAAATTTCCATCAACTTTTCGTGAGACGGGCAGAGCATTCTGCAACAGGCTTGTCCTCCTGCTGGAAAAGTTGCTCGTTTTTGCCCACCCGGAGGTTGGGGGTAGAGATACCGGGAGCTAGCACCTCTTACCTGCTCGTCAGATTATCACACCTGTCCTGTCTGTCACTTAAAGAAGGCCGCATTGGGTTGCGCTTAGAGGGCCTGACTAAATCTATAAGTCCAAAGGCGTGTGAACTCAACTCTTTACTCTCCTAATAAAAAGGAATTTATGACGCATTTTGAAGGTTAACTTCTGCTTACAGAGGCTGTCGATTCGGAGTCAAGGAAACACCTCTGGCTAAAGACGCGGTTCGGCGTCATTAATGCCTACAGGAACCACCTCAATGACTTTGACTTTTTCATGAAGGCCGATGATGACACTTACGTCATTGTTGAAAACTTGCGTCTGCTGCTGTCGACTAAGGATCCGGCTGAGCCTATACTGATGGGGCGAAAGTTCAGTGTAAGTCCCCTGCTTTTTAGTGTAAATTTATCTCGCAGCTACACCATTTAAGGGTATTTGCTATCACGATTATGTGTGTGTGTAACTTTGTAAAAGTCAAAAGGATTCTGATAGGTTGAATACCCACGACTTTATGGCGGCCAGCAGGGATATGCTGATTTGGAGTGAAACGTACGGAGTCTTGAGCAGTTGGATTAGAGCACGAAAACCGACTCGTATGGATGTTTTAAGTATTAGTAGTGCTGCAATTTGTACCAGCACTACGACTACTCTTATTATTGCTACCAGCATTGCTGTTGCTGGTGTCTCTGTTGCTACTTCAATTATTATCAATTACACCAGTTATGAGTTTTCAGCCTGCATGGTGCATCGTCTACCTGTAGGGTAAGTTATGACTTTGTTCATACAATATAGGGTTCACGAAATTGTGCACTGTTTGTGGGCGGCTTTAATAAGTGGACAGACACAATGGTATACGAATGAACATTCCGCGGTCTTAAAAAATCTCATAATTACAAACTTTTTTAAAACTGAATGGCAAGCCTTATTCAAGTACAACAACAGAGCAGGATGTAATTTTCTACCAAATAAATACAAGAAACAATGTTTTTCTATCTGTTTTCTACAGAATATATTTATATTTACAGCGGCGTCGGAGACCAATGGGAGAAATTCATACTACATAAGTGGTCAGTTTTATCCGAGTGTAGCTTTTGTTGTTCGCCGGAGAGAGACCTATTCGAAAGCCGGCATCCCTGCGTAACTGAAATCTCATTGAAATTATGGTCGACGACAGGCCGACCGTCGTTTCCGACAACGTCCACCATGTGCTACACATGAAGATGAAGCGGGGACGGTGACCTGCACGTGAATTAATTCATAGTCATGGTAGGCTTACGCAGCGCCTACCACACTCTCTCCTCCCCCACCTGGATTCGGTGTCAAGACTGAGCCCATAGACCTCAAATATACTGATCTACTGCAAGTTCGGAGTTAATTTCTAGGGAAATTAAAACGCAACAATGTTAAGACATAGTCAAGAAGACCGGGACTGGGGTGGGCGCAGGTGGATGGCGCAGTCGAGACCGCACCTTGGCGCTCCAACCCACATCTGTTCCACTCAGCAAAGGACCAGGTTTTGGACCAACAACAACAATGGGGGTGTGGCAGAGGTGCCAGTGGGCGCGACGTCTGCCGGCAATTGGGTCTGCCACCGCACCCCCCGAGAGGTTGGCATTTGTTATGGTGTGCATTCCGATAACGCCTGCCAGAATCCGATATGGACCCCGTGTTGGTCCAGCGCATCTACCTCGTGGCCCGTTTTGGGGAGGGGGGGTCATGGTCGACGAAAATCAATATCACAACACCACCCGAGTAATCCTTTCTAATAGGAAACTTATTTCAGAATTACAATCAAACTTTCATAAGATAGGCCAGACGTGGCCAAAATCTGTCCATGGAGCTGACTGAAGGGCAAAATCTCTACGAAATAAGTAATCAATGGACAAAGTGTGCCAAAGGCTGATTGCGGACCCTTTTGTAATGGTATTCATGCATGTTGGATACACCTCCACGCACTCCCCAAGTGCTGCGTCCAGACAGTTCTCACTGCCTTTCCTCAAGGTAGTATGGGACTGAAGAGCTTTCCAGCTGGATGTACAGTGTGTGACCGATCTCATGTAACGTTGGCCGAAATTCTGAAATGTGTTTTCGAATAGGAGAGAATACTTAGATAAAGCTGTGATACTGACTATTAGGCGGCATCATCCTATAATATTTCGGACTCGCCAGGATGTCGGCTTTCGAATGCACTTTTTTCGGTCTCCCGTAGAAACTGCACTCGGTAAGAATGCCTACTTAAGTAGCGTGCGGTTTTCACATTGATTTTCGACCGTTCCATAAATTCAAATATATTTTATAGACAACGTGTACAAAACATACTTTCCTTCGCTTAGTTGGCAGAAAATCACGTTTTCTTCACATCTTTTGCCCGAAGAAAGGGTTTATTTAGGTTTTGAAAAAGTCTCCTAATCCGTGAATAATTCTGAGCCTGATCAGCCGTTGCATTAGCGTTTAGCGATCTCAGTCTACAAGATGCATGCTTTCTGCGTGAGGAAAATAATATATTCCTCCCTGTCCCTAAGAAGGTGCCATAAAGAGTTCATAACACTTTGCAATGGATGCGGACTATGTCGCACATTTCACGAGAAGCATTGATAGAAGGACATGTGCAATGCTGTATGAATGAACATCGCACGGTCCTCAAAATCTCATAATTAGAAGTTTTTTGAAACCGGATGTTGATCTCCCTTAGAATATAAAACATAAAGACAATGTGGTTTTCTACGAAACGATTAAAATGAAGCATATTTTAGTGCGTGTTTTCAATAAAATATATTTGAATTTATAAGACCATCGAAAATCAAGGCTAAAAATGAATGCGAATTGAGTAGTCATTTATCACCGGGTGCGATTTTAACAGGTCGAAAAAAAGTACATTCAAGAGCCCACATCCTTGCGAGTCGGAAAGGCCATAGGATTGTGCTGCAGGATAATTACAATCCTGCCTAAGTGTGTGCTGATGGGTAATTAGCAAGCGGAGGCTTTCAACAGTTGTTCCGCCGAAACCGGCCGGGCCGAACCTTCAGGTCATGCCCAGATTGTACACTACACTGCCGTCCTTCGCAAGCTGCAGGCACATTGCGTACAAAACAATCGAGAAAAAAGTGAATTTTCTGGTATAAATTCTGGGAACTTTTGCAATTTTTATCCTAATCAGCACTTCCCGACGAGTGAGTTCACTTGCTCTTTCACCTACCAAAGTTGTGCATATAAATGGCATTTTTTCCTCTCCTAGAAATACGTCGCCCAAGGCTACACCTCCGGCGGCGCGGGTTATGTTCTCTCCCGGGCCGGCCTAAAGGCCATTGCTGAGGGTATGCTCAGGAATGAGACAGGCTGCGAGCCCGTTCAACAAGCAGAAGACTACCGAATGGGTGAGGCCGTAGCCGTTGTTTAAAAATTCTATTAAAACACGACACGCGTTCGCGCAAATGATGAGAAAAGTTTAAATCAGCACCATACTTCGACCGGTCGTTGCTGGGAGTAAATAAAAAGCAAAGCTAAGAGACAGTTTTGGATCACAGTGGTTTTTACAGAATCGCACCACCTTTTGCGGACGGACGAACAGTGGGATGTGTGATAAACATATCAGAAAAAAATAAGGCTACTGTAGGTGTCGAAGGGTGTGATGAGTCGCCAGGACAATAATCCCCAAATCACAAGTCCGGGAAGACCTGATTGCCGAAGTAATCTTTCAACGGAGAGAACACTTGGTGTTCACCAAGTATCAACGAAAGTTCTGGGTTCGTTATGTTGACGACTCCTTGGTCGTTGTCAGAACAAGTGACATTTATTATAGTGAGGAATTACTGGACTTGGATGACCCGAATATCCAATTCACGCTGGGAGTGGAAACAAACAACTTACTGTTCTCTCTTGACGTGCTTTTGCGCCGATGTGCAACTGGACAGCTGCAAACTACAGTATTCAGAGGCAAGTACTACACTTCAACAGTAAGAACCCTCTGTCTAAAAGACATAGCTGTGTGCACACTTTAATTCAAATAATTTAAACACCCTCCAACGCAACAAAAGATAAAAGGGCCGAATTACAGTACAGCTAGTAGTTGTTCCAGCCATTTAACCGAGAAAAGCAGGCGCCGAGCTCAGACGATGGCCAAAAGGAACAGTAGCCCGAAGTCTGGAGGGCCATTCCCTGTATTTAAGGGGTCACCCAGGCAGTCTGTCGACCGTTACAACCCGCCAGAGCAGGCATAGCCTGGCAACAATTCGGCGCCGCCTGATGCAACTTAAGAGCACGCTGCCACCCACTGAAACCTTAGCGGTTGTCTACAAAATAGGTTGCAATGAAGGGCACTGCAACTACGTTGGGGAAACTGAGCGGAAATTGCGGGCCAGCAACTACGAGACTAGGCCCGAACTTTTTATTTGCAACGCACTTCGGAGAAACTGGGTAAACTTATGGTTTTCAGTGAGCTGCCGTCTTAGGCCGGGGCAGCTCAAAGGCAGAACGGCCATTACTTGAGGCGTGATATTCAGATGTAATCTCCATCAAAGGGCATTTAGATCTTCCTGCTGTTTACAAAGTCCTGCGTCATTATGTTAGTAAAGTCCATGATCAGGCGATCACGATAGACTTAACGTTATGCCGAGATAGGCCGACGAAGAGTTCACTCGACGAGGAAGAAGAAGGAGGACCACCTGACCCACGAATCCCAACATAGGCACAATCATCTCTCCTCAACGAGATGGTGAACACAACGCACGCAGTTAAAAAGGCTGCCAATCAACCCTCCCCCCCGAAAGTCGGAGGCAGCGAGAGCTGACAAAAATTCGACCAGCATGAGGCCGACCTCGTCTGCCATGACAATGATGAGCCGACCAAATTCTCCTAAACCTCAACATTCCAGTAAACTTTTCCGGTGAGCCCATCACATTTCTCAGACAGATCGCAGAAACGAACTGCCACAGTAACACCGGCGAGACCGAAGGCGGCTTGTAGAGACGCCGAAGGAAACATTCGTGTCTAAAAACAGGAGTAACGATACGATCAGGAAAATGAACCTGACATCCAATGTGAGTGATATATACAGGGTGCACAAGAGAAGAGCGAGTGTACCCTGAGGTTGGAGGGTTGGAGGCTGATGAGGAAGTTGCGGCTGATGGCTTCGGACGTGGACGGAGAGGAGGTAGACGGGAGGTAGAATCCACATAGGCAGAAGGAACAGCGTTTATTGGAATCTTTTTACGAGTGAACAGATTAATGGAGTCAGTGTGACTTCGGTGTCGTACAACCTCTGGTTTGTATGCTTCAACGTGTCTGGCCTGCTGATTACCAGTGGAGCCTGGTGGCTGTTACCTGTGTTAACCATCTCCCTGTTTTGCTTCGCTCTCCTATGTAAACTGCACGCATGTCAGAATGGCACTTTCTTCAGCGACAGCCCGACTCCTAGCAGCTGTCTTGCTGAATGTTTGCCACCCCCGCGCAAGACCTTGTAGTAACTGACGGTTCGACCGTCAAGTCCGACGATGTCCACTGTTAGCTTTTTCAGCGAGGTAAAGAGGGCACAGTGACTTGCGCGTGAATTAGTTAAAAGTGAGAGTAGACCTAAACGGCGCCTACTTCACCCGATCCTCCCCACCTAGGAAGTGAGGAGGGCGCTGGTGGCTGGCACAGCCGGACCCTCACCTAGGTGTATCACCACACCCCCCGGTACACGACAAACACGTGACCAAGATTTTAACTGACAACGACAGCACTACAGCGGATGGGAAGGACCAGGATAATTAGACAGCCATGTCCACCGCCTGTATACCCAGCGGGAGCGCAAACACATCTACCAGCAGGAAATCAGGTGCCATAGAACTGCCAGCGCACTCCAGGCTGCAAGAGTTATGGTTTGCTGATCCTCGCATAGGAAACGCTTACAATCCTTGATGCATTTTTATGAACAACAATCAGAGTCATGACCCCCTGGGCGGTATGGGGCGCTAACTAGGACTCCTGCTTCGAGCTCCGAAAGGCTCACTGATGTTTGTGCCTCCTCGTCTTTATTCGTTGATACTGGTCAGCGTAACGGGCCGCGCTACTGATGCACTGAAGCGAAAGGAAACTAGACCGGCTCATGGAATGCATTTATCGATCCCTGATAGCTTCCCTTCGATGCTATAAGTGCTGACGTACATGACTGCGGTAGAACGCGTTAGACGTAAGTATTGACGGCGACTAAGCCGCTCTGTCCAATCCCAGCCCCAGCTGGCTGACTGACTTGGACAGTCGACGGGGTCATGTGAGTGGGGAATGTGGTGGCACTGGGGAACCCATATTAACGGAAAAGCCGTCTGTCCCTTACCGTAGTAAATCTAACGTTACTTGGGTCTACCCCGCTGGACTAAAAGTGGTGACTTCGGAGTTTGCCAAATGAGCATATAACTCGGTCCCTGTAGGAGTATTTCGGAGGGACTGGGAGAATGGCTGATAGGCTATGGCGCTTCCTTCTCAATTTGACCTTCATGGCCTTCTCACTGATTTAAGATTCGGACGGCTCTTACCAGTACTTTGATATATGCAGTAAGGACTAGCTCGTGTGTGGTAAGCGTAGACGACCCAGATACCTCTGTCAGCCACTGCGTCTGGGCTCCCCTGCGGTAGTCTTTACATCGTAATTTTATCGGGGCGAGGTGAACGAGAGAGGGGGAGATGCCGCAGATACTGCGCAAGTCACCCTTGTTGCGCCGACACCGTCGGATTTTACTAATACTCATTTGGCTGTTAGATAAGAGGGTTTTGGTGCGCATACACCCCTTACGTCTGCAGTGTTGACATTTCAAAATCAGTTGCACGTGGTGGTATACCTATTTTCAAGAGGTACTCCTCTTTCTACCGTAGGTGGACTAACTCATGAAATGTCTACCGGAATCTCGAAATGTGCTTTCGTTTCGAAAAGATTAATTAAGCAGGGTTGTAAAACTAACCATTATATCGCATAATTATATAATAATTCAGTTACGTCAGGATGCCGGCGTTCGAACGAACTTCTTTTCGACTGCATGCAAAAACTGTACTCTGTAAAAATGACAACTTATGTAGCATGCATTTTTCTCATTACTTTTTGATGCCCCTAAAATTCGATTATATTTCATGAAAAACATGCCTAAAAATATTGATTTATTGGCCCACTCGGCATTCAAAGTTCCTAAACTACAAGCTGTATATTTTTCGCGTACGGAAAACCATAAATTTCTTTACGGTAAAAAGAGGCGATCATATAGGGGTTCATATAATTTGACAGTAGGTTTGAGCCACATTGTTAACTTTACAAGTCACATCGGTAACTTCAGAGACAGGACTTTTATGAACGGCCATTTCATAATGTTAAAAAATCCCACAATTAGAATTTGTTAAAAACTAGATTACAGCCCTCACTCGAGTATAAAATTGGAAGAAGACGAAATTTTCTACCGAATGAGCAAAATAATGATTATTTTACGCATGTTTTCCATGAAATATAATTGAATTTCGAAGGGCATTGAGAATAAATGAGAAAAATGCATGCTACATAAGTAGTCATTTTTTACAGAGTACAGTTTTTGGATGCAGCTGGAAGGAAATCCTTCCGAACGCCGGCATCCTGAGGTAACTGAATTATTATGGAATCATGCTGCACGATGATTAGTTTTACAACCCCTCTTAATTTATCTTTTCGAAACGTAAACGCATTTCGGAATTTCTGTTGACATTTCATAAGTTAGTCCGCTTACTGTAGTTACCGTAACTAATCTTATTTCCAGTCGTTCTGGTTAGATGCTCATTTTCGCACGTTGTATGTGGTGGAAGAGGGATGATTTGCTTCCGCTGATACTTAACGCCTCATCAGTAGAATGCAAACGAGGTAACAAGACTTTCGAGCATTTTTGAAGTCCGTCTGCGTCCCCCCGGAGATTCACCTTCGCAATGCGTGGGTTCACATACCCTTCTCTCTTCTAATTCAGATGCATGCATCACTGTTTATAGTCGCATGTTGTCCTTTCACAGTCATTATCCGCCGACCACTAAAGTTACCGTGACAGATGACCGCAGACTCAATTCGCAGCAATAGTCATTTGTAAGCCCGCTGATCCTCGCAGTTAAATTTTTTCACTTTCGTTAGATTTGAAAAGTGTTTTTCTTCCTGTAACAGATCTGATTTTTATTGAAATACGCAGACAAAGCCTCACATATACTGCTCTCCATACCTTTAAAGACGCTTCGTTGACTTGCGACTTTTAATTCCAGACCCTCAGGCAACACGCTGAAAGTGTACGAGACCATTAAATGTTTTTTTTCCCGGAATTTCCTGGGTATCTGAAGGCGCCCTGCACTTTATTTACTTGTTACTCTTGGTAAATGCAAGTAATCTTCATTTTTTAAAGGCTTATGCGCGCAGAAGGTCGGTGTAAAATTGATCGACACTCTGGACGAGCACGGCAGAGAGACGTTTCATCCCTTCAGACCGATCACCATGGTAAACGAAAATATGTTGCGGCGCATAAAGTGGCTTCCGCGCTTCAACGCACATCCAATAATTAGCGTAAGTCAAAACGTCTTTAATTTGGAAGCTTTGATTTGCACTGGAAAAAACCTACAAGTTTCCCTAATAACCACCTGTCGCTTGAATAATATACTATATGAATCTGCATCCCTACATACAAAGTCGTATGCGTGCTTGTTAGTGGCAGCTCGACCTTTGCGAACGACGATGTCCACCACAAATCCTCAGCATGGCGTGCGTAGAACCTACGGCCTCCGTACAAATTAACTATAATGGGGGAGACTTGCGCAAGATCTCTCTCCTCACCCGCCATGCTGCGATGGCAAGACAATTCCGGAACGACCGGGGCGGGGGGAGTTGGGAATGACAAGGCTAAACGACCCGTTTACGCATGCCGCACGCGAATTGTCCCCAACTGGGTATAGCAGGCTTACGTAAGGTCGGCTGGGATCTCCTATCAGGGGGCGTACCGTAGAGGTGAGATCACGACATACCCTCATCGTCCAGGTAAGGTTCTTCTGCCTGATTTTGCTCGATACGAACAAGACTTAAACAACTGGTCTCTCCGCCTTCATTTTTTTGTCCTATCTATGAGGCTGTCTACTTGATCGCTTCCTGATCTCTAACACCACGGAAGCGAGCAGGCTTGGCTTGAGATGTCGGTCTGATCTGCTTGTCCCTGCTGCAATGCGATCAGCGGAGCAGCTCTGACGGACATGTGCGTGCGAGAGAGGTAGGACGCTCCTAAAGATATATAGCTGCTATTCGACGAAGACGAAAGCAAAAAATGCTTTCGATTCGTATTTTAATGGATCTTCCTATGCCAGAAGAGGTGGAGAAGAGCTTCCTCTAGCTTACTGGATAATTATGTTTTAATACGCAACTGCCGTCCAAGGATCCATTTTCAACTGGACCAATAGAGTCCCGTAGCCATTCGGCCGATATCGGTAGTGTACAGATCATCCAAAACTATGTTCGGATTTCTCCCGCGAACTCTTCTTCGCGATGTTTCGGGTCGCATACTAGTCCCCTGGACTCGTTTGGTCAGGTTATAGGGCCTTTTTGCCATTTGGTAGGGGAATTAGATTGTTGTAACTCGCTATGCGGGGGATGGGGTGTGCAACCTTTAACCTGGTTTTCTATTACTATTTGGACGTTTAATTTACGGAGAGCTCGTCTTGGGACTGACTTTGGCGCGTCCCTGGTCGTGGGTGATATCTTTTGTCAAGTTTTTCGGTTTCAAGAATTCTGCTCAAAAGCCATTTGGTTTGTCGATCCCGCATAAACTGACTTATTGTGGTAATTAGAACAAGAATACTTTGTGAAATGGGTGGACAATGAGTTGACTGGCCTGTCAAAGTAACGTAGGTTTAGCCTGAAATATAGTTACCCCCCCTGAGATGGACCTCCAGACCACACTGCATCCTGTGAACGCGGAAACCCCTAGCACCACTTCTACGCCATTTTTGAATGTTGTTCATAATGCTTGCGAGAACAGTATCGCTGAAGCCAACCCCACAATAACACATGGCCAAGCTGCGTGTTTCCTACTAACTACTGAGGACTAAGTACTGAACGTTTTCTGTATACTTGTAGATCATGATGATTGAATGTGTCGTATCAATAGGATCAAATCCTCATTATGCTGCTGTATGAAGCTACCACAGTTTCTTTATCTGCGGCTTTATGGCGTGGGCTGTCATCAAGTCAATAAGATTAGTTGTCCAGCTCGTATGATGACGCCTCCTTATCGCAATGACAGCCACGGACTCGCCGCCCCTTGCTTTCAATCTGTCCTACGCCAGTCTCGTTTTAAATTTTGACGGAACGACCTCGCCTGCCCCTCACGCCGCAGTCTGGACAGGAAAATACAACTTTTTACAAAGTTCTTTTTGTTAGGTCCCTGTAGCAGGTAAGGATCTGTTAACAGTCGTTCATATTGAAAATCTGTCAGCCACCTCTCTATCCCCCGCATCAAACGGTTAACCGGCTTGGACAATCGATTTGTGCACAGAAGAGGGAAGGGAAACTGATGTCGACTCTCAGCGAATTCACCTCCCCCCCCCTAAACGATCCGGCGGTGCGTTAAAATTCGCGGCTTGGGAGGTTGGCGACTAACGATTCAATCCAGACCTCGGAAGCAGCCCAGTGTGTGTTTCTGTGGGGCGGTCGACTGATGGACTGAAAGTCAGAGTGCGATGGCTCCCTCTTAATGCGGTTTTTATGTCATTACCACTCGGTTGGGAGCTTGGCCGCTTCCTCTATATGTGAAATCTTGGTCCTCTGTGCCTAAACCAGGGGATCTGATGACACGCCTAGATACGGGTTCACGCCGTGACAGCCACCTGCGTCCGATCCCGCTTTCGGTCTTCTGGACCCTGTCTTGACGCCGTGCCTTGAAAGGTGAGAGAGGGGAGGGTGCGGTAGATGCTGCGCAAGTATATTATCCCCATAAAATAATTCACGCACAAGTCACCACTCTTACGCTTACCCGGTGGATATTGTCGGAATCGACGGCCAATATGTTAGCCCACAGCGCTCGTAGGACTGTCGGACCCCAGCCTAATCGCTGGAGACAAAAATAGGTTTTAAGAGCAGAATTTGGTCTGTTTGTATTATTTGACCTCCCTTCTTCCCTTTTCAGGGCGTCGAATGCTGCAGTGACCATTCAATTTCATTTCACTATATGCGTCCCTCGGATATGTACATGACAGATTTCCTTCTCTACCATCTGTACCCCTACGGCATCGCTCGGGACTTGGAAACCTACAGAAAGGCTATAGAGGACCGCAGCTGAAGGGGAAATGCTTCGTAAAACACACCTGCACATACAGAAGCAGCAGCATCAGGAGGGAAATGATTGGTACTAAAATCCTCGAGATTCGTTCCATTCAGAAGCTGATAGTCGAACTTTTATTTGCCCGCACCGACACCCTCCGGCTGGTCTGCCGCCATAAGCAGCCAAACTCTTTCAGTATACTTTTTGATGGATTGGGAATCAGCTAAAATTTTGACGACTCCTTCCAACATTTTGGAGACCTTTAAATGATGAATACCCTATTTTTTTTACAGCTTTTGTACATTTACTTATCGTTCCACAATGCATTTGTTAATGGAGGTTCGGCGAAGGCAGTTCTACCAATTTACAGGGGGGGGGGGGTATTCTTTCGGATCTGAGGTTCTAGTTGAATATTCAAAACTATCCAGAATGTAGAAACACGAAGAACGAATTTACTTTAATGGAACCGCGGTTTGAAGGAAAAATATAGGGCTCTTCAGTGAGTAAATAATCGGAGTTCAGGTGTCAAGCGTCATCAGCCCGAATGAATAGGAGATAATATTCTCTTTCTGTACTCATCTGGTAGAAATTTACGTCTTTTCTAAATTTTGTCCCCGAAAAGAAATGCTGCGGTTGTAACCAACGTTTACGATTCCAGAGTACCTTTTAACTTAACCTGCTGTTACGATTACATTTCATGTAAAGAAAACCATACATTATGCGTTGTTGACGAAACTTAGTATAGGGCTTATAAGATTTTTTAATACCTGGGCACACAACGGCCTTCAAAAATCCCTTAATTGGAAACTTTTCAGAACCAAAAGATTTTACTTCTCTAAGAAAAAAATTAAAGTTGACGTAATTGTCTACCAGATGAATACAACACAAGCTTTATTTGTACATGTTTTCTACGAACTGTTTTGGATTTACAATGGCATCCAAAATCAAAGGTGAAAACATCATATTGTCTAAATTGTCATTTTTTTGAAGACTTTAGTTTTGATGACGACCGAAAAGATGCTTGTTCAACAGCCAGAAGGCCGACATGACCGAAATATCCTGGGATTATGCTGCAAAATAATTAATATTTCAATCCTTTTAGGTAGTGCTTTCGAATCGAAAACACATTTCAGAATTTAGGCTAACCTTCCATGCTTTAACACACCTACTATAAACACTGAATGGATTTAGAAGGCGTGCGAAGACACATAAGATTGAAAGGCTAGATCCACCATGCTGGTATTTGGCTACGCTGAAGTGCATGATAAACGTCAACCTCTTCCTTTGGAAAACGTATGTTTGGGCCCAGAAGAGCCCTGGGTTTTGCATGTTAAGGGGGCAGTTCATAAGCACTACTTATGCGTAAAACGCCTAGGGGTTTTTCTGAAAATAAATCCTAAAATTGGCCTACCGAGCCCGAAGATCGTTATTAATTCTCAGTCTTGCCATCTTGATGTTTCGGTGCAAAAGGCAAGCTTACATAGGCGGGAGGCATCGTAATTTTATGGGTTAATAAGTGTTACTAAGTCTTGACAGCGTGAAGCCGTCTACTCGCTGGTTGCAGTTAGGCGAAACAGAAGCCCATTTATGCGGCAGACGAGTTTTGACGCAGCCTGAGAGTAGAGCAACTGACGGAAGCCATTCTGACCTTCAGGGGACAAACGAGTACATTTTGCCAATTTCATGTCGATACACGTGCAAGGTGTACACACTGCCTCAACTTCGCTCGACGTCATAAATTAACGATGACAACGCTCGTACTAACAGACGGTTGGGCTTCATTTCACAATTACGGCTAGAGTACAGGGCGAAAGTGCGAAGGTCAATTACAGGCGCGCGCGCGCACAAACGCGCTAAATTGGTGCGACGTTTTTGTGTCCTAGTACATAAAACCTCAATCGCCTAGCTGCTGGTAAAGAACGACTGATGAGGGTCGTGTACTTGCCTTCAGAAACGGGCAGACTGAGAGTGAAACGTGTTTGGCTTATTTAATTGATACTTCAGCGGACTACGACCCACACTCGCACTGCTCAGACTGTTTATAAAGTTGCGAAAATCGCCATTACAGTATTCAAAAGACTAGTTGGCGAGCATACGTTTGCTTTCGATAAATGTCCGTCAGGCGAGTGCACAAGGTACAGTCGAGCATGTCAATGATTGGAGAATCGTCAAAGGTTAATTTTAAAACACGAGCGGAGCGAGAGCGGAAGGGCGCGGAAAGTTGTATGTGTTTAGTCATCCCTTGATCATGGCAAGCGCGGAGTCTGGACGTGGTTCTTTTGGGCTCATAAGATCGCCTCTCGTAACCTGATAGCGGCCCCTTATGCTCTTGCTAATAGACGCTGGCCAAGTAGATTAGGGTAGCTCAATGGGACCTTATAAATCACATGAAAAACTTCACTGGGGTTCACACGATGTCCAGAATCACAACATGCGCGAGGATGTCGCTGCTTATGCTCCCCGTTTAGCTTTTTCTCAGCCATGCCGGGAGGTGTTCCTGTATTCTCTTGGAATAAGCGCCGACTCGTGAGACCAATATAACCTGCTCCACAGGAGCAAGTAAGTAGTAAGATTCACATTGGAGTGGTCTGTAAAACAGGGTTAGTAGAGAAAATTTATTCGAACACTTGCCGCTGGGAAGGTTCGTGGGACAGCCTGATACGGACGTCTGCATAAGGGTTCACTCGCAGCGCCCCCTGAAAAGGGACTTTGAGGAACAGAGTTCACTTTTCGACTGCCAATTTCGTGGTATTTACGGTCGCTCAATATTTTTTTAATAAACCTGTGAGAATAGCTTTATTTGTGAAACCAGTCCAGAATCATTCTAAGCTTTTCTTTGATAATGTCTGTCGAATAAATGTATCTAGCCCTTTGTGTTAAACACTGGACTCGTTTTGTTTTTGTTTGAAGTGGGGGGCACAAAATTGTCGAAGTCGTGTATTGCCTAGGCCGGCTTTTCTTCCGATAGGCGCCCATTCAGACGCTGCCGTGAGGTTGTAGTGACATTTAAGTCTGTTTTGTTTTAATCAGTTACAATACGCTTTGACACAACTTTGAATACGACAAACAACACGCACGTGCACTTTTACCTGCCGACGACTTTGTTCTTATTTACTAGTTTGTAACTGTTGGGATACTGCTATTTTCGTATCCTGGATAGCCTACTCGCTGTGCCCAACTAGTGGGTTTAATCTCTTACAAGGTCTTCTGTTTAGAAAGACATCTTGGAAATGAAACGAACCAGCGGATCCCATCTCCAACGGGAACTTGCTCGATGGATATGCCTGATTCGCAGCATTTAAGAGGGCAGTTAGGTCGGTTTCTGTGGTGACAACTGCAAAGATGCCATCAACGTAACGACCGTAATATCTAAGCTTATTGGTTTGATCGTTTGGCTTGTTCGTACAGGCATCGGCTAAGACAGGTCTAAGAAGCGAGGCCATAACAACGCTGTCTACCTGTCTATAGAGTTAGTTGGCAAAAAGAAACCACACGTTTAATGTGCATCTTAGTAATAGTTGCTTGAATATGCTCGTCGGAATTCGTTGATGCAGTCAACTGTTTCAATGACGGGCAAGTTTGTAAAGAGTGAGGAGATATTTAGCGAGAACATTACAATGTCGTTTAAGCTAAGATCTTTGATGTCGTCAATTAATTCGAAGGTATCTTGATAGTTACGTGGTGCTAGCTGATGCTCTATGGGCTTGGGTTTCTTTGTTAACCACCTCGCTACTGCACGCGAAACCCTCCGTGTTTCCTATCACTGCCATGCTTGACTTGACCCAGCCCCCATATAAATGTACCGGTTCGATGAGAATTTATCGAAAGCAAACGTATGTTTCTAAAGTGACCGAATGGGATAAATTTCACTGTCATAAGAGGCAACACCGAGTAAGCGAGTTACATCAGGAGTGATAAACCACTGTCTCTCTGTCTCTTCGTCTTTACACTCTTTCGGCAGCAATTACTTCTGGGGAAACGGGGCACTTACTTGACTTAGCTGAAAATCAGATGTATCCTCCATCGCTTCAAATATTTAAACGCTCACAAGGAGCGACCTTGCCGAAGCCATCGTTCTACCTAATGATGGACTTTAGGAACTAACCCCTGATTGGCTGAACTCAACGATTTACCTCAGACGATTTTAAAATCCCGTTTACAATTGTGATGAAAGTCGATGAGCCCACTGGCGTCCAGATAAAACAAAAATAAAACTAGGGTGGGACCTTTAGTAGAGTTAATCTTTTAAACTGCTGGGATTGCCAAGCGAACTCACCGTAAGTCTTAGAAAACAGCGCACGGAGAAGTTTGGCCTTCATATACGGCTGAAAAGCTACTGCAGTCCAGACGACATCTCTTGAGAACGTCCGCAATACGTCTCAAAACGCTGATTGTTCGTTTTCATGTGCAGTTACCTGCCACCATTAAGGAGGATGCCGTGAAAATTTAGTGCTCCTGAGATCACTTCCTTAGTCTGCAAGCATCTAGACCGAAAGGATTATCTTAGGTAACATTTGTCATAGTTGACGTTCTTCTACAACTAGTTGTCCGATAAGTAGTATTGTTTTTTTCGATACCGACTACCCTACAGGCCACGAGCATTCTGTGCAGGAGGCGGTTCCCGACGAGACTAGGGAAACTGGAATTGCCATTTCCGGTTCATTTGCCGTCATCAGCCATTAATGTCTAACCTTTGGTTTGGGTAGCCTGGGACAAGAGCCCGGGATCTTTGACCGTCGAGTTCAACGCTCCATCATTGAGCCTCGGGCCCGTTATCCCGTTACACTGCCTATATCATGCGCCGCTGTGCGGCTGCTGATTGGGCTCGAGAGTGCCCGTAAGGCAAAACTGAACGAGTGAGTTCCCTAAGAACGATCAGTGAGCGCCTCCTACTATCCTGTGGACTATAATCGCTTTCGGGGATGTTTTGCCTGGCCACATCGTTAATTACCATGAGTACACCAAAATTTCTATAATGTCTCTCCAACCTGGACCAAAGGCATGTGGATAGAGAGCTT